AAATGCATATTAACATCTCACACGTTTCTAAACTTGAGGAGTTAATGGGACAGATTAACTGGGTTTATTCCTTTTTCCTTTTTCTCTCTCTTTTTTATAACTGTTAGGTCTTCATGTGCGTTTAAGCAGGCTGGGAGCTGTTTCAAGACTGCATGAATTTGTGCCTTTTGTAAGTGACTCTATTAAGTGTTGATTTACTTATATCCTATTTCTAAATACTTCTTGGTTGATGAGAGGGAAGAAAAATTTTGAAACCTACCTGAATAATTTCCATTCAGTACTTTTATGTCTCTATATAAGGACATTGATATCTGAATCACAAGAACTTGGAATTATCTCATTCAGTTCCATCCATTTTACAGATGAGAAAACCGAGGACTGTTTAGTGCAATAACTTTGACACACATCCAAGCCCTCTGAAAAATAACAAAATTGCTCATCTGTTTCAGGAGGACTTTCAAGTAGAGGTACTAGTGGAATATCCTTTGCGTTGTCTGGTATTGGTTGCCCAGGTTGTTGCTGAGATGTGGCGAAGAAATGGGCTCTCTCTCATTAGCCAGGTATGGCAAGGCCTGTTTACATTTATGAATGTGTTCTATTTCTGATCATTTTTTCTTTAATTTTACCTTGTGTCCCTGGATTTTGCTATTTACTTTCTGTTCTCTTATATAAATTCAGAATTGAAAGTTCTAGTAACCATATAGACATTTGTTGTTTTATCCTATTGAGTGGCTAGATTCAGTGAAAGCCAGTAGAAACCTGTCCATTAATATAGGTCTTTTCTGAAGATTTCCTTACTTGGGGACCTGTAGTCTTTTTTTTTTTTTTAAGATTTTATTTATTTATTTGGCACAGAGAGAGAGCATGAGCAGGGAGGAGGAGCCAGGGGAGGGGGAGAGGCAGGCTCCCCCGCTGAGCAGGGAGCCCAAAGTGGGACTTGATCCCAGGACTCTCGGGATCATGACCTGAGGTGAAGGCAGATGCTTAACTGGCTGAGCCACCCAAGCACCCCCCCACCATTCTTAATTGAAGGCTCCCTGAACAATTTTTCCTTCCATTCTAAAGCAAATAAAGAGGAATGCTTTTCCTAAAAGGTGGGAAACTGGACTTGTAAAGCTACAACTTGGGAGATAAATGGCGTTATGATTGTAGAAACTGGTTTACTTTTATTGAAATGGGCATTTTTTTTTTAAGAGAGGGAGATACGACTTTATTAGAAAAATAAAAAAATAAAAACAACTGAGGTGATGAGTTGGTCCTTAACAGATGCCTTGGTGGATGAGGCTGCTCTTGGCTGCACTGACCTTCTCCTGTTCCTGCCGCCATGCAGGGTCCAACTCAAAGCAGTGCCATAGCTGCAGGGTCTCATCTGCTGCTGCTGAGTCCATGGTGGCCCCATATGGGCTTATGGTCAGACTTAGGACCCGGGCAATGTGACCTTTAAGCTCAGCCACATTGGCCATGGTTGGGTACTTCCAAATAACCAACTGGTTCTGGGCAAAGTCATGGCCTGAGATGAGCTCGTTGTAGTGGGGAGACCAGAGGATGGAGCACACCTGGGATTGAGCATCCACAGCACTCAGGCCCCAGAGCAGACATTCCAGATTCGAATGTGTCGGTCGCTGGTGCCCCCTCCAGTTGCCAGGACATTGGGCTGCCAGGGACACCAAGCTACAGCCTTGACATCCCCTTGATGCTGGGTGAATGTCTGCAGGAGAACCTAGACACCCTCTCTAGGAGCACTAGGCCACACATTGACCAAGTTATCGTTGCCACCGCTGGCCAAATGTTGGCCATCTGGGGCCCAGTGCAGCCCACACCTCCTGGCTGTGGCCACTCAGTGTGGCCACATGGTGTTCTGCCACCCGAACATCATGGTGGTGGATGTGGCCAGAATGTGAGCCACTGGACACGATATATCTATTCCAACACAGGGAGCTCACACGGGCAGAATGACTGGTCATGTTTCGAAGCCACTTCTGCTGCCGCACATCCCACAGCTGCACCTCCGCACTGCCGCGTAGTTGCCCTCTTTGATCCAGGCCACAGAAGATATATAGTCCCCAGGCTGCTCCATTTGCAGCAGCTGCAAGATGTCACCAGAGCTAGCACTCCACAAGTACACACTATTGTCCAACGCCACAGCCAGTACACTCCCAGAGCTCCAGTCCACAAGGTTCAGGTAGTAGTCATTCCAGATTTTAGGGGCGTCCACAATTCGGTCTGGCAGGGAAGGAATGTAACCACAGGTCTTCCGGCTGGAGCCAGGCATGGCCTTCTGGCTGTAAAGCACTTTCAGTCTGTTCTGGTAACCCTCTGGGGCATTTTGTGATTTTCCACTGAGCCGAAGGATCTTGGCTTCCTCCACATCAAAACTGTTCAGGTTTAAAGCCCAGGCTTTCTGATGTTCCTTCTTGGTGGGCATCTGGCTATCTCCAGGCTGGTTTTCTTTGCTCAGGAGGAAACTGGCCACCTCCATCTGGGAAGCACTGCAATGGGGGATATAGCGGTCACCACCAGGTTTGCTGGGAGTGGTCTGAGCCTTGGAGCTGGATTTGCCGGGAGTTCGGCCTGGGGTCCTGCCAGTGCTGCCTGCATGGGTGAGGGAGCCGGCCCTGCAGCTTCCTTAGCTCTGCGCTGCCAGCGCGCGGTGGGTGCATTGGGGATAGGTGCGTCCAGTTGCAGCGGCGAGTGCAGGTCACTCTCGAACACAAACTGCGCCATGTCTGCAGAGGGAGGGGTCCTTGAAGTGGGTGCCCGCCGAGTCCTTCAGCCCCCAGCAGTTTCCAATCCCAGAACGACTCTGAAGTGCGCATTTTTAACTTAGAGGAAATAAATTATTTCATTGTTGAGTAATAATTAATATAGAGCATTTTAAACTCAAGTATTTTCATGCATATTTCCTTCAAAAATCTCACAAATCCCTTAAAATAATTCATAGATTTACAATTTTTTTCCCACTAAGGAGTTCTTGGAATTTTTAGTTTTGAGAAAGTTTTAGAAATAGTTTTTGTTGAGAATTCTGTTTAAAATAAAATAATTCTTGTAGTTTCTATTCTACCTTTTATTTTATAGGTATTTTATTACCAAGATGTTAAGTGCAGAGAAGAAATGTATGATAAAGATATCATTATGCTTCAGGTACCTATTGAAATTACTTTGGATATTTATATCTTAACTTTCCTTCTTAGATCCCTTGTAATGAGAAAAGATACTATAATTATTTTTAACTTTATTTAAAATTTTCTCACTGTTAAAACGGAATATGGCATCATAAAAACGGAAGGGACTACTACATTATCTTCTGCAGACTTTATACTATTTCTGACAGTCCTACTAGAGACAAATGTTTCTTCATTTAATACATGTAGAACTGTGATGCTGCATTTCTTTCACAGATTGGTGCATCTTTAATGGATCCCAATAAGTTCTTGTTACTGGTACTTCAGAGGTATGAACTTGCTGATGCTTTTAATAAGACTATATCCACAAAAGACCAGGTAAGCACCAGAAACAGACATGTGAATTAATTCCAAAGGAAATATTTTTGTTAACAATTTTAATCATATTTAGGATTTTTTATCTTTAGGTATATTTCCAAAAATCACACATATACATACAACATGCATATATATCTACATATGCACACATATACTTTATAAAAATTTAGAATATAGGGGTGCCTGGGTGGCTCAGTTGGTTGAGTGACTGCCTTTGGCTCAGGTCGTGATCCTGGAGTCCCTGGATCGAGTCCCACATCGGGATCCCTGCTCAGCGGGGAGTCTGCTTCTCCCTCTGACCCTCCCCCCTCTCATGTGCTCTCTCTCTCACTCTCTCTCTCAAATAAATAAATAAAAATCTTTAAAAAAAATTTTTAGAATATATAGATTAATAATAATAAGAAAAATAACATGAAACAGTCTGCCTCCTAGAAATGATCACTTTTTTTTTTTTAATGTTGTTAGTTAACATATAGTGCAATATTGGTTTCTGGAGTAGAATTCACTGATTCATCACTTATATACAACACCCAGTGCTCATCACAAGTGCCCTCTTTAATACCCATCACCCATCTAGCGCATCCCTACCCACCTCCCTCCATCAACCCTTCATTTGTTCTCTGGCGTTACGAGTCAATTATGGCGGGGTGCCTGGGTGGCTCAGTTGGTTAAGCATCGGCCTTTGGCTCAGGTCATGATCCCAGGGCCCTGGGATCAAGCCCCACATTGGGCTCCCTGCTCAGCAGGGAAGTCTGCTTCTCCCTCTCCTTCTGCCTACTGCTCCCCCTGCTTGTGCTCTCTCCCACTCTCTCTGTCAAATAAATAAAATCTAAAAAAAAAAGTCACTTATGGCTCGTTTCCCTCTCTCCTTTTCTTTTCCCCCTTCCCATATGCTTATCTGTTTTCTTTCTTAAATTCCACATATGAGTGAGATCATATGGTATTTGTCTTTCTCTGACTGACTTATTTCTCTTAGCATAATACACTTTAGCTCCATCCACATTGTTGCAAATGGCAAGATTTCATTCTTTTTGATGACTGAATAATATCCCATGGTGTATGTATATATATATATTATATATATATATACACACACACACCACTTCTTCTTTATCCATTCATCAGTCGATGGACATTTGGGCTCTCTCCACAGTTTGGCTATTGTTGATAATGCTGCTATAAACATCGGGGTGCATATACCCCTTCAAATCTGTATTTTTGTATCCTTTGGGTTAGTGCAATTGCTGGATCATAGGGTATTTCTATTTTTAACTTTTTGAGGAACCTCCAAACTGTTCTCCAGAGTGGCTGTACCCATTTGCATTCCCACCAACAGTGCAAGAGGGTTCCCCTTTCTCCACATCCTTGCCAACACCCGTTGTTTCTTGTGTTAATTTTAGCGATTCTGACAGGTGTGAGGTGGTATCTCATCATGGTTTTGATTTGTATTTCCCTGATGATAAGTGATGTTGAGCATCTTTTCATGTTTCTGTTAGCCATCTGGTTGTCTTCTTGGAAAAGTGTCTATTCATGTCTTCTCTCCATTTCTCAACTGGATGATTTGTTTTTTGGATGTCGAGTTTGTTAAGTTCTTTATAGATTTTGGATACTAACCCTTTATCAGATATGTCATTTGCAAATATCCCATTCCAAAAGCTGCCTTTTAGTTTTGTTAATTGTTTCTTTCACTGTGCAGAAGCTTTTTATCTTGATGAAGTCCCAGTAGTTCATTTTTGTTTTTGTTTCCCTTGCCTTTGGTGACTATGGCTGAGGTCAAAGAGATTTCTGCCTGTGTTCCCCTCTAGGATTTTGATGATTTCCTGTCTCATATTAAGGTCTTTCATCCATTTTGAATTTATTTTTGTGTATGGTGTATGAAAGTGATCCAGTTTCATTCTTCTGCATGATGCTGTCCAGTTGCCCTAACATCATTTGTTGAAGAGACTATCTTTTTTCTATTGGATATTCTTTCCTGCTCTGTTGAAGATGAGTTGACCGTAGAGTTGAGGGTCTATTTCTGGGTTCTCTATTCTGTTCCGTTGATCTGTGTGTCTGTTTTTGTGCCAATACCATACTATCTTGATGACTACAGGTTTGTAATACAGCTTGCAATCTGTAATCGTGATGCCTCCAGTTTTGTTTTTCTTATCTTTTTTTTTTTTTTTAAAGATTTTATGTATTTGACAGAGAGAGACACAGCGAGAGAGGGAACACAAGCAGGGGGAGTGGGAGAGGGAGAAGCAGGCTTCCCGCGGAGCAGGGAGCCCGATGTGGGCCTTGATCCCAGGACCCTGGGATCATGACCTGAGCTGAAGGCAGACGCTTAACAACTGAGCCACTCGGGCGCCCCTCCGGTTTTGTTTTTCCTTTTTAGAATTGCTTTGGCTCTTCAGGGTCTTCTGTAGTTCCATACAAATTTTAAGATCGTTTGTTCTAGCTCTGTGAAAAATGCTTGTGGTATTCTGTAGGTGTTGCATTAAATGTGTAGATTGCTTTGGGTAGTATAGACAGTTTAACAGTGTTTGTTCTTCTAATCCATAAGCATGGAATGCTTTTCCATTTCTTTATGTCCTCTTCAGTTTCTTTCATAAATGTTCTCTAGTTTTCAGAGTACACATCTTTTACTTCTATAGTTAGATTTATTCCTAGGTATCTTCTTGTTTGTGGTGCAGTTGCAGATGGAATCGATTCCTTGATTTCTTTTTCTGCTGCTTCATTATTGGTGTGTGGAAATGCAACAGATTTCTGCCATTGATTTTACATCCTGTGACTTTGCTGAATTTAGAAATGATCACTTTTTAAGTTTTGGTGTCTTGTTTTTAAACCAAATTGGATCATTTTGTATGTGCTTTTTTGTAATTTGCTTTCTCTTCTTAATGAGATATTATGCTATATTTTTTCTTGTCATTAAATACATAACCACATCATTTTTTACATCATAATTTTTAATGGCTGTATATTATTGCACTGTATGATTGCATTATACCTTAGTCCCCTATTGCTAAAGAGGTTTTCTAGTTTTTTTGGTCTCAGAAACATCTCTGGACCTCATGGTTTAAACACTTACCTAATTATTTTGTTAAGTTTTTAAAAGTGGATTTGCCATGTGCTCTTTCTTAAGACTTTTTTTTTCTTAAGACTCTTAAAAGTTACTCAGATTTACACTCTTTAGCAGTATGTACATCTGTAATGGCGCTGGTATTTTTAGTCTTCGTTGATGCAGTAGGTGAGAGCTGGTCTTTCATTTGTAGGTGTAGTTCTTTAATTAGCAGTGAGGCTGATCATGTTTTCATGATTACTGGCCTTTTTCTCCCCCTTTCTGATAATAAATTATCTTTCTAGTCCTTCATCCTTTTTCTGGTTTTGTCAAAATTCCTTATTTAGTAAGGATATTCTTCATTTATTGTATTGTTACATTTTTCACAATTTATTATTTGTTGTCCTATACAGTTTCATCATCCTTCATTGCTTTAAAATTGATACAAACTTATAAATTAGTCCTTACCTACTTTGAATTTATGAATTTATTTTATGCTTTCACATTAGAAGTTAGTTGCAAAGAACCAAAGAATAGGATATAAAATACAAAGCTAATTTTCAGTCATGTTTTATACTCAATGTAAAAATGAGTATCTAATTTGCTACATTGCTTAAATAAGAGATGTGTTAAGGAAAGCTACTGTCACCATAGTTGGTATCTATTATTTGAAGCCACTGTCTTACCAACCCAGATAAGAAGGAAGTCATTAGAATTAGTGTGTTGACTTAAGGCTCTATGGTAATGATAATGAAAACAATAATATTTTTATTGAGTTATTATTTGCCAGGTATTGTGAACCTTGTGGAATTTGATGTCAAAAAAGGAAGTTATTCACCTAATAATCTGTTGTAGTCTGGAGGAACATACTGGACTGCATGGGCCATGAGCCTGATCCAGAAATGTATGTTTTATGAAAGCTTTTGGTTCATATGTAACTAATTTATTCTTTTTTGATTTAATAGGATTTGATTAAACAATATAATACATTAATAGAAGAAATGCTTCAAGTCCTCATCTATATTGTAGGTAAGATTAAAACATGTTTGAAATAGGATATGAGTTCTTTTTAGAGAAAACGTTAATAAAAACTGGAATTTATCATTTTACTCTCTTCCCAAACATAGCGTAGAATATTAATGTGACTAATATGATTGATATGTTTAGAAACCCAGCTTTTAAAAAAGCACAGCTCTGTTATATCTTTATTTTTCAGTACCTGATTTACAATTGTTTGGTCTTGTTTATAGAGGTCTGGAATACAATTATCCTACTTAGAAATATAGATGAAAAATATCTGTACATTGCTAAAAATCTTATTTATATATGAAATTTCAGGTCTAAGTAAAATATATTTTCATTGTGTCATTCTATTAAATTACTTTGTGCAATACTGGCCATACTTTTATTTTTTTATGTTCGTTTTATAGTCTTTATTGATTTTATCAGCTAGTAGTTCTTAACTTCTCATTCTGGCTCCTGTTTCTTTACTGCAGCAGACACGGCTTTATATTAGTAGTTCCTAGTGAGGATTCTAGCCATTAGTTAAATCTGAAAACATGGGTTCATTTTACTTGTTGTGAAAGAATTAGTTACTGACTGGCTGCTTTTCTCAGCAGGAAGAATGATAAACCTTAATTGCTAAATGAGATACACATGTGTAAAAGATTTTTAAATTAATGCTATATTTTATTAAATTATAAAAACTTGAGGGGAATTTTAATGTTTGTTCTTGGAATACTATATGAAGAATTTCTAGTACTGTATTAAATATTTGCTATTTTATATTTTTACTGTTTTATTATTGCTACTGTTATTTTTCTGTTATTGTATTTATCCAGATTTATTGGGTTTTTCCTCCTATGTGATTTGATTCTTGGTTGATACTTGCTATATTCTTAAGTATAATAAGTTCATTACTTTCAGGAGTCGACATTTAATATATATCATTAATATATATGTGTAAGTAATATATATGTAATTATATAATATTCTATAGTAATTACATATTGTATTGTTATACATTATATTATTATACTTCCGTTATTTATAATATATTAACTATCAAGAGCATGCCATCTATATTCTTTGGGTCTCAGATTCCTGATTTGCAAAATTAGAAGCTAATCTGTATGCTCTCTAAAGTTCCTTCTAGCGCTGTACTTCTAGGGAATGTTGTTTTAGGTGAAAGAAAATTGAAAGTTACAAAGTGCTTTACGAATGTTAAGGGGAATGATCTGTTTGAAATGAATTCACTTCACAAAAAGTCATTCTTTGGCTAATGTGTAGAATTTATCAAATCTCTTAGGCAAAATTTCCTATCTTTAAAATAACCTTGTTATAAATATCATAGGACTTTTTATATACCGTGTAGTATTGAAAATCAGTGGTGACATAAGGCCAGTTACCGTAGTAGGCCTTCTTAAGGCAATTAGAATTAGATGATATGACACCAATGAAGTTCCCATAGTTAACTTAGCTATATTTTCTCTCTCCATTTGGCAGTTTATTGGGATGAAAAATGGAAATGTGATCATGTGGGCATTTTAGCAACACCAGTCATTCCTGATACATATTAAGTATTTTGTTTTTGAGTTTTCACTTTGTTCTTTCATAAAATAACAAGTAGAGACAAAATTGAGGAAGATCTTGAAAGAAAAGCTATTGTTCAACAGTGGCCACTGCTTTTTCAATGCTTTGTTTTCTGATTTAGAAACACATGCTAATTTAATTGAGGGGCCTTGTTTATAATGTGTGTGTGTACCTCTGTGTGTTTGTGTGTGTATAAATTACAAGAAAGCCTGTGTTTTTAGATCTCTTCATTTTTCTTCCTCTGGCTTTTACATACAGAATTTTATTCAGATTTTCGAACATGTGCAAATAATTTTTGGTCCCTTTCTCATGGACTTACTGCATTGTTCTGTGTGTAAGTGTTCCTGGTAGAAGAGATTTGAATAGAAAATAATTAGTTTACTGTTTCTTTTCATTGTTTGTATTAGGAGAGCGTTATGTACCTGGAGTGGGAAATGTGACCAAAGAAGAGGTCACAATGAGAGAAATTATTCACTTGCTTTGTATTGAACCCATGCCACATAGTGCAATTGCCAAAAATTTACCTGAGAATGTAAGTCCAATATTGTTTTTTACTCCATTCGCCTTAAGATGGGATTTTTTTTTCTTTTTCGTTAATTGGAAACTACTTTGAAGTTTGAGGAAAATCTATTTGGCAAATTTTCCTGATCTAAACTTTAATTCTGGACTTCGGGACATTAGGAAACATTTAAGAAACATAGCTATTTGGAAAACATCTTAGAACAAGAAACTCCCTTTTTGTTTACCTTAAAATAAAATTTCTCCAGAGAAAAAGGGAGCTCCCTGAAATACTATTTGGGTAGTTTGTTAGTCTGGATCTTCCAAAAAGCAGATGTCAAGCCAAAACATGTAAGAATTTATTAGGAATGATGCCTATGAGAGAAAATGGTGAGGGAGTTTGAAAAGCTGGGGGAGCCATGAGACTGTCAGGCGAGGCTGATTTCAGGTGAAGGAAGGAAGAAAGGGTAGATAGAAGCATTCTAGACCACTAGGTAATCTACTCCAGGCTTGATGTCTTCCCCTGCAGAGTGAGCCTGTGTTAGTATCTCTGCTGCCTCTAACTGAGGCCTGCAGGGTGCAATCTCAGGGCCACCACAGGTGATACTTATGGTTTTGTATATACTGATTATAGAAGTAATAGTCCTAAAGATTATGAGTCTCATATTTTTTCTCCTGAGATTTAATTATGAATTAGAACAATGATTCTTAAAAGAGAATTAGACTTATCTACTATCAAGGTGTTCTAGAGAAGTAGAATAGAGATAAGCTTGGACTATTGGTCATTTTTCCCAAAAAATATTTGTATCTTTTTCCAGTTTCATTGTTAACTGATTCTCAAGCTAACCATTTGGCATAGCACCTTCATAATTTCTGCATATCTATCTACCAGTTTTATAATTATTAATACATTTTAAGATTAACTTTTTTTTTTTTAAAGATCTTATTTATTTATTTGACAGACAGAGACACAGCGAGAGAGGGAACACAAGCAGGGGGAGTGGGAGAAGGAGAAGCAGGCTTCCCACAGTGCAGGGAGCCCGACGCGGGGCTCAATCCCAGGACCCTGGGATCATGACCTGAGCCAAAGGCAGGCACCTAACAACCGAGCCACCCGGGCGCCCCAAGATTTAACTTGCTTTTTTAAGGATTTATTTATTGGGGCGCCCGGGTGGCTCAGTCATTAAGCGTCTGCCTTCGGCTCAGGTCATGATCCCAGGGTCCTGGGATTGAGCCCCGCGTCGGGCTCCCTGCACCGTGGGAAGCCTGCTTCTCCCTCTCCCACTCCCCCTGCTTGTGTTCCCTCTCTCGCTGTGTCTCTGTCTGTCAAATAAATAAATAAGATCTTTAAAATAAATAAATAAATAAAGATTTATTTATTTGAGAGAAAGCCAGGAGCACAAGAGTGGGGGGAGGGGCAGATGGAGAGAATCCTCAAGCAGACTCCCTACTGAGTGTGGAGCCCAATGTGGGGCCCAGTCTCATGACCTATGAGATCATGACCTGAGCTGAAATCAAGAGTCAGATGCTCAACTGATTGAGCTACCCAGGCGCCCCTAACTTATATTTTTTCTTAGCATCTTTCTAGGCAGTACTATCAGTGAAATAGTAGGTTTAGATTCTAGATTTTTTTTCTAATTCATTTTAAAATAAGTGAGTAACTATTCAAAATTTTAAAAATACGTAACTGTGTGCAACCTAAAATAATTTCACATACCACTAGTGATACACATACCATACTTTGCAAAAAGAAATCTTTAGGGCATATCCTAACTTCATTGCTTACCCCAAGTGCATTATTTTTAAAAGAGGTTAAATATCATAATTCTTGCAAAACTATAGGAATCTGTGAGCTTGCTTTAATATCTTGACTATGTTCTTATCCTGATTTTAAGTGACTTCATAAAAAAAATAATATTTCTTGATTAAGGAAAAGTTCCAGCCAGTCAAAATTATTATAATGCAGAAGCCAGAATACATTTGGGCATCTACAGGTGTTTTGCTGTAGATCCCATTTATTTTATAACCTTAGTTTTAGGTGTTGGTACAGCATGGACATGTGCTTAAATGATGTGGATGATGAACATATTACATAAAGGAAAGCTCTTTTTCTTTGAACTGTTGGGCAGGTGTGTGTGTGTTTCTATATGTACACGTATATTAGGGCAAACTGAGATAAAATTTCTTCCATGAGTAGTTTATTTATAGATTTTATTTCTCTTTAGAAATTGATTCCTCAAAACAAAGCTAATTGGTTTCAGACCTAATTTTTTATATTGGAAGTTGATTTTTTTTTATTGCTTACAAAATACTTCAAGAATGCTGTTGAAATGTATTTCAGTTCACAGTAAGAGAAGGAAAAGTCATAACATGAAGGTAAAAATGACAAAAATATTGTTTCAACAGGAAAATAATGAAACTGGCTTAGAGAATGTCATTAACAAAGTGGCCACATTTAAGTAAGTACTTAATATTTCTGCTTATTCTGAGAGATAGACCAGTCTTTGTTCTTGTATTTTGGATACTTTGTAGAAGCTCTGAAGTCCCTCCCTGAGCTCCCAAGAACAAGATGGAATACCCATTAGAAGGAGTGAAAGTGAGAGGCACACAGTAAGCATTTAGTATGTGTTTGTTGAAGAAATGAGTATCTTTAACAGGTGTATGAGAAATACTCATTTAGATATTAAATGACATAGGTAGTAAGTACAGTTGACCCTTCAACACAGGTTTGAATAGCATGGGTCCACTTATACATCGAGTTTCTACAGTACAGTACTGGAAGGTATTTTCTCTTCCTTATGATTTTCTTAATAACATTTTCTTTCCTCCAGCTTACTTTATTATACAAATATGGTGTATAATACATTTAACATACAAAATATATATATTAATCAACTGTTTAGGTTATTAGTAAGGTTTCTCGTCAGTAGTAGGCTATTGATAGTTGAGTTTTTGATTGATAAAAGAAATAGAAGATGAACAAACAAATGGAAAGATATTCCATGCTCATGGATTGGAAGAATTAATATTATTAAAATGTGCAAATTATTCAAAGCAATCTGTAGATTCAGTGCAATCCCTATCAAAATACCAACAGCATTTTTCACAAAACTAGGACAAATAATACATTTGTATGAAACCACAAAAACCCCAGATAGCCAAAGAAATCTTGAGAAAGAAGAACAAAGCTGGAGGTGTTACAATTCCAGATTTCAAGACATACTACAGAGCTATAGTAATCAAAATTGTATGGTCAGATTGGTTAAAATCAAAAAAACAAGAAACAGCAAGTGTTAGTGAGGATGTGGAGAAAAAGGAAACTTCTCACACTGTTGATAGGAATGCAAACTGGTGCAGCCACTCTGGAGAACATTTTGGAGTTTCCTCAGAAAGTTAAAAGTCAAACTACCCTACGATCCAGTAATCGCACTACTGGGTATTTACCCAAAAAGTACAAAAACACTAATTCAAAGGAACACATGCACCCCCTTGTTTATTGCAGCATTATTTACAATAGCCAAATTATGGAAGCAGCCCAAGTGTCCATCCATAGATGAATGGATAAAGAAGAGGTGGTATATATTATACAATGAAACATTATTCAGCCATAAGAAAGAATGAAATCATGCTGTTTGCAGCAACATAGCTGGAGCTGGAGAGTATAATGCTAAGCAAAATAAGTCAATCAGAGAAAGACAGATACCATATAATCTCACTCATATGTGGAATTTAAGAAACAGAACAAATGAACAGCGGGGGAAAAAAGAGAGAAACCAAGAAACAGATTCTTGAAAATAGAGAACAAACTGGTAGTTGCCGGAGGGGAGATTGGTGGGGGGATGGGTGAAATAGATGATGGGGAGATTAAGGAGTGCACTTGTGATGAGCGCTAGGTGTTGTATGGAATTGTTGAATCACTGTATTTTACACCTGAAACTAATATAACACTGTTAACTATACTGAAATTAAACGAATAATAATAATAAAAATCGGTATGCTACTGGCGCAGAAACAGGCACATAGATCAGTGGAATAGAAAAGAGATCCCAGAAGTAAACCCACAATTATATGGTCAGTTAAGCTATGGCAAAGAAGGCAAGAATATGCAATGGGGAAAACACAGTCTCCTCATAAATGGTACCGGGAAAAAAAATTGGACAACTCCATGTGAAAGAATGAAACTGGACCACCTATTAACACCATACACAAAAATAAACCCAGCGTGGATTAAAGACTTAATGTGAGACCTAAAGCCATAAAAATCCTAGAAGAGAACACAGGCAGTAATTTCTCTGACATTGGCCGTAGCAGCATTTTTCTAAATGTCTCCTGACAAGTGAAACAAAAGCAAAAATAAACTATTGGGACTACATTAAAATAAAAACCTTTTGCACAGTGAAGGAAACAAAACAAAAAGGCAACATACTGAATGGGAGATTTTATAATTCTTTGATTCTTTGAGATACATGAAATGGAAATAAGATTTTAAGTGGATTAATTATTAAAATTCAAAAAATTCCTACTGGTAATGAATTTCTACTTTCCATAGTATTATAGTCATAAATTAGTGGTTTTAAATAACTTTTAAAATAGGATATAGCTTTTTTATGGTTTAATAATACTCAATAACGTATTTCACTTAAAAATTCAATAGAAACCAAAAGCTGTTTAGTGTGCTGAACAAATACGATGTATTCCTTTTGGCTTTGATCCTTTTCCTTATAGTGCTGTATGAAGGATTCAACACTTTTTTCTTTTCTTTCTTTTTAAGATTTATTTATTTATTAGAGCGTGTGGGGGGGGGAGGGGCAGAGGGAGACAGAGAATCTCAAGCAGACTCCCCGCTGAGCACGAGCCCAGCAAGGGGCTCCATCTCATGACCCTGAGATCATGACCTGAGCCAAAATTAAGAGTTTGGACGCTTAATTGAGCCACCCAGGTGCCCCAACACTGTATTTTCATCTCCAATCTGATATCTCACTACCATTTTAGAAAGCCTTAGCAAATTAAGTAGGGCATCAATCAAATGAGGTCTGTATAATATAAAATAAGTTTCCTCAGATTTATTTAAATTTCTTAATTAATGAAACACAACTTGGCTGTTATAAGGACTTTGAGCTTGCAATGTAGGTTTTTAGTTTTACTGTTGGAATGAAATTAGTCATTTCAGTTTAAGCAAGCTAATTGATAAATGACTGTATTTCTTCTAGATTTTGATAGTTTAATTTTTAGGTTCTTATTTTCAGTATTTTATACTACAAGAACACCACAGTTAATCTCTGTATTTTCTGTTCAGGAAACCAGGTGTGTCAGGCCATGGAGTTTATGAACTGAAAGATGAATCATTGAAAGACTTCAATATGTACTTTTATCATTATTCCAAAACACAGCATAGCAAGGTAGGAAAGATATGCTTTTCAGTAAATAAGCCTAAACTGCTTTATGGTTTCTAACTCCATAGAAAATTTCCTGGTTTTTATGTAGTTTCATACTGGTTCTCACTAATAGAGGCCATTATCTCACCCAAGAAATTAAAATTGAATCAGTAATGTTATCTAGTGTACAGGCAGTATTTAAATTTTTCTGATTTACCAGCAGTATCCTTTATCACTGTCTCATGGGGAGGAGGATTCAGTCAAGAATGCTGCACTTCATTTGGTGTCATGTTTCTGTAATCTCTTTTCATTTAGGGTAGTCTTTTTGCCTGTTTAGTCTCTCATAACATTGCCATTTCTGTAGAGTATGGACTACTGATCTTTTAGAATATCCTACATTCTGAATGTGCCTGATTATATTCTCATGGTTAGGTTCAAGTTAAACTTTTTGGGGCAAGAATATTATATAGGTAATATATTGTATCACATCAGTAGGCGCATGTCTATTTGTCCCCTTAAGGGTAATGTTAAGTTTGATCACTTAGGGTGATGTCTGGACTTGTCCTTATAAATATGATTGAATAATTTCCAGCCCATAGTACGATGCCCTGAATATATAATAGGCACTAAATGAACATTGTTGACCAAAAGAATGGGGAGTAAAATCTTGAGGAGGGATGTTACTCATCTGGTTTGCAGTTGCTTTCCCTAGGACAGTCATTTTATTTCTGGCACAAGGTAACATTTTGAATACATACTTAGTATGTATTTTGGTAGGCTCCTGGATCTTTCCTGCCTGCTTCAAAGTATTCCATTTGTTTAATGCTTGCCAAGCAGTATATTTAAAGTTACTCTTTTTTTCTTTTTAAATACACAGGCGGAACATATGCAGAAAAAAAGGAGAAAACAAGAAAACAAAGATGAAGGTAAAAAGTGAGATTCCGAATTGACTCATTTTTTTAAGATTTTATTTTTTTATTTTGAGGGAGAGTGAGCAGGGAGAGGGGCAGAGGGGGAAGGAGAGAGGCAAGCAGACCCCGCTCTGAGTGCACAGCCTGATGCACGGCTCGATCTCACAACCCTGAGATCATAATGTGAGCCAAAATCAAGAGTCAGACGCTTAACCAGCTGAACCCCCCAGGCGCCCCTGAATTGACTCATTTTGACTATTTTCTGTGGTTTTTGTATCAGCAAAGCATATAGTGTTTTTCATCTTTGTTTTTGTTGTTTTTTAAGAGTGGGCAACTAATGGAAGTGTAAAGAACCCTTTAATTCTTGCCCTCACATTAAGTTATGGCTTACATCAATGGGGACAGAATTTTTAAATTTATAGCAATTAGAGTCTGTTTTGGGTGATTAATATAGTGACTTATATTTCCCTTGACATTGATGTGTTCACTGTTCTAAAGGTAACAAAAATCATGTGTTGTTGCATGTAATATGATTTTGACATATGCAATTTAGCATGTAGGATAACCTAAATAAAAATATACTTGTTTGTCTCTTCTGCTATCCATCTTCCACTCACGACAGCATTACCACCACCACCACCTCCTGAATTCTGCCCGGCTTTCAGCAAAGTGGTTAACCTTCTCAATTGTGATATCATGATGTACATTCTCAGGATCATATTTGAGCGGGCAATTGACACAGATTCTAACTTGTGGACTGAAGGAATGCTTCAGATGGTATGTATACTTGAAATATTTTTTCTACTTCTAATATTGTCTCTACATCATAGGGTTTATGAGGAGCCAGGGAAAAGAAGATCTTTGGTCTAACTTTGTAACTTCAGTCAGAACCACACTAGAGCACCTGAGACCTGGGGGTCATTAAAAATAGTTTAGATGTGGCATAGACTTTCTTAGTCATACAGTCTCATGTTTTAGTATCCTTACTCTTGAGAACCATTTATACTGGGAAAAAAAAAAATAAAAAGCTTGCCCTACTAATAATAAATCGGTATATCCTTATTACATCATAATTTTCTACATTTCTTATTTTACTTGTATTATGAGCAAGTAGTGATTTGAAGACAGACTTGAATCTTGGGTTACCCTATTTAGGAGCAAAGAATAATTTCTCCATTTTACTGGTAAGTGGGTATAAGTATAATTATTTCATAGAGTTTTTATGAGAATTAGCTCATTAAGTAGAAGCGGCTATTTTTTCTTGATACTGTTATAGATAAATTACTTAGTAGTGTCATCTTTGGTAGCTATAACTGGGTATTTATTTAACTTAATTTAAAATTTAATTAATTTAATTTAATTAATTTTCTTTCTTCCTTGGCTGTTATTGGTCTGGAGGTTCTAAATGCTGATCATACTGTATGTGTATCTCAATTTTCGTTATAACAATGGTAAATACATGAGTAAAAAATTTCAGGCCATGGAGATATATTTGAAATCAAAGGTTAAAATTTCTCTCCCTACCCCCTAGTGTCCTACCTAGGAGATAAGCACTGTTAAAGGTGTGTATCTTCTGGAAATCATTCCACTTTAGCACATATAGGCCTATTTCATTCTTGATAGATGTTTGCTCCATTGTGTGGATATGTATAGTTTGCTTAACCAGTCTCCTATTAATAGACATTTAGGTTATTTTTAGGTCTCCATATAATAACACTGAAATGAACATCCTTGTACAAATACCTTTGCATACTTGAGTGTATTGTCATACTGATTCCTAATACTAGGTCTGTACCTTTACATTTTTGATAAATATCGTCAAATTGGCCTTCAAAATGTTATACCAATTTACTTTGACATAACCGGTGTGGTGGAAAGTGCCTGTTTCCCAGCACCTCACCCAGCTCTGTATTTTACTAAACTCTAAAAATTTTGCCACTCTAATAGGTGAAAAACAGGATGGTCTTGTTTCAGTTCACATTTCTTCAATTTTAAGTGAGGTTGAACATTTTTCATATGTGTATTTATCATTTCTCTTTCTGTGAACTTCTTGTTTATAACCTTTGCCCCTTTTTTACCTATCAGATTGCTTATTTTTACCTTCATTTAAAATATATTTACCTCCGGAAGCACAGTTTTATAGATCTTTTCATATTCCTCTTTCAGGCATTTCATATTCTGGCATTGGGTTTACTAGAAGAAAAGCAGCAGCTTCAAAAAGCTCCTGAAGAAGAAGTGACATTTGACTTTTACCATAAGGCTTCAAGTATGTTTTAGTATTAATTTTAAGCATAGCTTCAGCTAATTACGAATTTGTAAGTTTAGCTCTTACAGAGTGTTAATCTACCACTCCTTAAACTATAGACAGTTCTGAAATTAAGACTTTTCCTAGCATCTTTAGTTTTTAACTGATGTTTTCAACAATAAAAATATATTTTCAATCCCCTACTACAATCTTTCTCACTGCTTAACCCCCCCCTTTTTTTTGAGTGGGGGATGCATACATTGATAGTTTCTTACTTTCATTCTTTGTCTCAGTATTACAAATATTTGCTTCCTCATCAACCATAACACTCCATTAATGTTCCTGAATATAAAATGATTGTAGACGTCCGAGTGAATGATAGTGTGTTTGTCTTGCACTGTTTTCTTCCTGCAGAACAGGATAGGTTTAGATTAGATTTTTACTAAGATGTATTTATATTTATTTATTACATTAAGACAGTTTCATCAAAGCACATTCCAGGGACATTGATTACGAAACCAGTAGGAGAAAAGCATCTCCTATTCTGTTTACAGACTGTATTTTTTAGGTCCTTGAAGACATCCTAAACCTATTTAGTTTATGGATATAAAAAGCCCCCACTTTCATATTTTTGGGAGCTTTGGTTCTCATTAACTACTTTTACTAGACAGTGAGCCAAGTGGAGGAAAGGCGGGAGACAGATCATTAAAGGTAGCTTTTATTTAGCAGCCCCAGTGGAAAATATATTAAGAGTTTTAAAATAATTCAAATTTTTCAAGTTGTTTAATTTAGTATTGAGTACTTCATGTCATTGCAGGTTCTTCCATTGAAAAATTAATGTAGTTAAGGGAGTGATTTTGAACTTTGGTTGGCAATGTGAATAACATAACACTGTAGATTATAATTATAAAGGTTTTTATTTATGATTTGTAACTTTTGTGTTTTAAAAAAGGATTGGGAAGTTCAGCCATGAATGCTCAGAATATACAAATGCTTTTGGAAAAACTCAAAGGAATTCCCCAGTTAGAAGGCCAGAAGGACATGATAACATGGATACTCCAGGTGAACCTGATAAATAAACTGTATCATATCTTGGTTTAAATATTGAAGAATCCTCTGCCTGTAATGTTAAACCATTATTCTCCAATTATAAAGTCATTTACTACTGATTTCATGGTCACTCACATATTTTCATGTTTTAATGGAAGTTTTTTTTTTAATAAATTAAGATTTATTTGTGGCATTATTCAGTCAGCATCTGTTGAATGCCTATTATAGTGCCATGGTCATTTCTAGACTCTGAACAACACAGATAAGGTGCTTGCTATGATGGAGAATACACTAGTTGAGGTACAGTCAATGAACAAGAAAAGGATAATTCAGTAGATGAATAGAGGGTAACTTCAGATGGGTAGTCAGAAGGCCTCTTTTGGGGCGCCTGGGTGGCGTAGTCAGTTAAGCATCCAATTCTTGGTTTCGGCTCGGGTCATGATCTCAGGGTTGTGAGATTGAGCCCCGTGTTGGGCCCTGCACTCAGGGTGGAGTCTGCTTGAGAGTCTCTGTCCCTCTCCCTCTGCCCCTCCTGCTTGTTCACATTCTCTCTCTCTCTCTTTCAAGTAAATAATCTTTAAAAAAAAGAAAAGTCCTTATTTAGGAGGTGACATTGAAACTGAATGACATGGAGCCAGACTTACAAAAATCTGGAAGAGCATTCCACAAAAAGGAGACAGCACTGCAAAAGCTCTAAGGTGGCCAGAAAGAAGGCCAGTATGACTGAAGCACAATGAGGGAGGGAGAGAAGGTAGGAAACAAGGTCAGAGGGGCAGCCAAGAGCCAGATCATATAGGACCTGACAGGTGAGGGTAAAGTGATGGATGTTATTTTTGAGGACAGTGGGAAACCATTAAAGGATTTTGAGTAACATACTCTGGTCTCTACTTCTGTAAGATCACTGTGGCTCCTGTGGTGTAAGTGGATTATAGGGGACAAGAGTAAAAGCAGAGAAACTATTACAGTACTGTTGCAGAGGGGCGCCTGGGTGGCTCAGTCGGTTAAGTGTCTGCCTTCGGCTCAGGTCGTGATCTCAGGATCCTGGGACCGAGCCCCATGTTAGGCTTCCTGCTCTGCAGGGAGTCTGCCTCTCCCTTTACCCTTCCCACCTGCTTGTCCTCTCCCTATCTCTCTCTCAAATAAATAAATAAAATCTTAAAAAAAAAAAAGAAAAGAAAGAAAACTGTTGCAGAAATCCTGTTGAGAAATGAGCATGACCAAGGCTCAGGTGCAGATGGCAAGAAGCTGAACTGATTCAGATGTAATTTGGTAGCAGAATATATAGGATTTGTTGATAGATAATGGTGGAAAGGATGAGGGAGATCACGGAGTCAAAAATGACTCAGAGTTGAAGCTTGAACTGTTGGGTAGATGCCACTGCCTTTGAGGAGGAGTGAATAAGGGGTAGTAAGAGAAGCCAGGAATATTACCTTAATGGGAAACCCTCCACATGGAAACATGAAGCCAAGATTATGGAGCTTCCCCTCACTGTATTTATTTTAAGATTCTGATGTGATCAGCTAGATATTGTTTTGATAACTAGAATATAGAGTGGTTATTTTCCATATTTATATCAATTGGAGATCTTGGTACTGATCTGTACTTCAAGAAGTCAGCTTTTTCTTAACTAGAGATGCTCCTTAAACATGCTTGATATAATATAAGATAATGATGTTATTATTAAGGTTTCTCTTGGAATAGAATTCACAAGTATTTAGTATTTGTGTTAAATTTGCCAATATAATAATTTTAAAAATATAAAACCAAAACAGAAACAAGGTAGATAAGTATTCGACTCTTATTAAGAAAATAAATTGATGGGGCACCTGTGTGGCTCGGTCGGCTAAGCTTCTGTCTTTGGCTCAGGTCCTGATCCCGGGGTACTGGAATTGAGCCCCGAGTTGGGCTCCCTGCTCAGCGGGGAGTCTGCTTCTCCCTCTCCTTCTGTCGCTCCCCCTCGCTCATGTACGCTTGCGCTGTCTCTCAAATAAATTAAATCTTTTAAAAAAAGAAAAGAAAAGAAATCAGGGGCACCTGGGTGTCTCAGTCAGTTAACCATCCGACTCTTGATCTCAGCTCGGGTCTTGATCTCAGGGATTTGAGTTCAAGCCCCGCATTGGTCTCTACAGTGGGCATGGAGCCTACTTAAAAAAAGGAAAGAAAAGAAAAAAAATCAACTGAACTACATTTAGTTCAACATTTATATCTTATAGATACAATGTTATATATTGGAGATCTGTTTCCAAAAATTTATTTTCTTTTAGAATACCAAAGTTCATTGTCAAAATAGACAAAAAGTACAAGTATCAGCTCATAAACTTACTAGGTATTTTCTCCAAATGTTTAATATAAAGTTGTGTTGTAAGTTCCTTGTGGGAGGTTTTTACACATGAGAATGTGACTCCTTCAAAATATAAATAAGTTTTGTGGATGTACCCTCCTATTGCTAAAACTTTGATTTTTGTTAAAAAGAATGAGACTGATCTATATAAGCTATTGTGGAAATATATCCACAGATAAATGTTTAAGTGAAAAAGAAATATAGGAAACAGTGTAAATGGTAGGGTTGCTTTTGATGAGAATATATGTAAATATAGAAAAATATATTCTGATAATTTTTTTTCTGCAAAAAAAATGGCAATTGTTTTTTTTTAAGAGAAAGCAGGGGAGGGGCAAAGGAGAGGGAGAGAGAGAATCTTAAGCAGGCTCCACACCCATAGTGGAGCCCGAAGCAGGGCTCAGTCTCATGACTCTCAGATCATGACCTGGGCCAAAGTCAAGAGTTAGACGCTTAACTGACTGAGCCACCAGGTGCCCCCTAATAATCTTTAATTTAGTTAATTTTGGGGAGAGCGACTGGCTGCAGGAAGAGAGGGATTCACTTTCCATTTTCTATTTTTGTCTTTATATGTCTTTGTACTAAAAATGTTATTTTAAATTAAAAAAAAATTTTCCCCTGGCAAAAGTAGAGGTACTCTCTCTCATACCTGCAGATAGATTCAGCTGATTTTACTGCCTGCAACCTCCTCCTTAGCTGTATTGCTCATCAACTAGGGGAGCTGTTTGTCATAGGCAGGAGTTACTTTTTATATACTTAAACTAATTATATAACTATTTACATGTGTAACTATTTGTGTGTGTGTGTATATATGTCAAGTTTAAGTCAAAGATATTTGGTGACATGATGACAAAATCAAATTACTGAATTTTTCTGTTTCTGGTCAGTCTAACCAAATCTTTTTAACATTTCATCTGTTTCTCACAGATGTTTGACACAGTGAAGCGATTAAGAGAAAAATCTTGTTTAATTGTAGCAACTACATCAGGATCAGAATCTATTAAGAATGATGAGGTAATAACGTAATGATGGTGATGTTCTTTGTCTTTGAACTTTACTGGTGTAAGAGAGCTGCTGCTTTTTTGTTAGAAGGAACCTGTTGTAAAGTTTCTGAGATGTCCATCTTCTTTTGTTCGTTGTTTCTATATCACAGGGATTAGTGGTATTTGACATGTAGTTGTCCAGTATAACATATGTATTTTATAAAAGCAGAGGAAATTGATGTACAGTGGAGCTCTTTTGGAAATACTATAATTTATTAATTTTTGAAATATTTTAATATCTGAAATTGGGATATATCCTGTAATGACTTCTTATAATTTAATCAACAGCATTCTTAGTGGAACATAAGATAATGCTACATCTTAGATTCAATGAAATGCGGTAATATTTAGGTTACAGAATTCTATAATATAACAAATCAGGTTTTGATTATTCTAATCTTAAAATTATTAGAATACTATTACTTGTGTTTTTTTTATTGTGATTTTTAACTATCCCTCCTAAAAGAAAAACAGTGGACTTAAGTTAGATACAAACAAAAAGACACCATGCATCTCAGTAATATGTTTAAGTTCTCAGTCTTAGCAGTGCATCTAGTCATAACTGTTAGATATCATCAAATTGGGTAAAATTGATTAAATGTGAGTGATTAAATGATTGACATATGATTTAAAATTTTTTTCTTTCAACTTTATTTCTAAATCTACCTGCATTGAGTATAAAATGCAACTTATTAGATACTTAAGGTACTTGGGGCTTTTACATTGAATTATTAAAATAACCAAAAGAGCAGTTAGTTAGGGGCGCCTGGGTGGCTCAGTCGTTGGGCGTCTGCCTTCGGCTTGGGTCATGGTCCCAGGGTCCTGGGATCGAGTCCCACATCAGGCTCCCTGCTGGGCGGGAAGCCTGCTTCTCCCTCTCCCACTCCCCCCTCCTTGTGTTCCCTCTCTCGCTGTCTCTCTCTCTCTGTCAAATAAATAAATAAAATCTTTAAAAAAAAAGCAGTTAGTTGCATGATATGATGGAGCCTGTATGCTCATTTTGAGACATTAGATTGAGTCTAAGCTTAAGCGGTAATCAAATTTTATCAGACTCTTAACTCTAGGAAATTTTGCCTGACTGAACAGTATATGTAAATTTCAACAATGGCTCTTACCTAATTTTTGTGGCTTCTTAATACCCAGATTACTCATGATAAAGAAAAAGCAGAACGGAAAAGAAAAGCTGAAGCTGCTAGACTGCACCGCCAGAAGATCATGGCTCAGATGTCCGCCTTACAGAAAAACTTTATTGAAACTCACAAACTCATGTATGACAGCACCTCAGAAATGTCTGGGAAAGAAGACTCCATTATGGAGGAAGAGAGGTAAAACCAAGCAAAACTAGAAATCAGCAACTCAGTTTTTTGGAGGGAAAATGACATACTCATTTTAAATAAAATTTTTCCAAAATATGTTTCATAGTAAGAGAAATTACATTTATTTTTAAACTAGGAAAGGCACAGTGAAAGCTCTTAAGGTACTAATTGAATGTAAGTTTATGTTCATAAACAGTTCTAGTGCACAATATTTTGTTGAGAGGCTTTATGCACAAAAAGATACAAAATGGGAATGGCACAAATCAAAATCAAGTTCTGTTATCTTGTATGTACAGGCTCTTTTATTTATTTTTTATGTTAAAAAATGTAAGTACTAATTGTACTTTTTGTGTTTGAACTTATTTTAATATTCTTTTATATTGACATAATATATTGCAGAGTGTATTACATATTGCACAGGCTTTTTTAGATGCACATTTATGTATCAGTTCAAATATTCCACAGCATTTTTATGATTTCTGGTAAAAATACTGCAGTTATTACAGATTGGAAAAAAAAATCCTTCACCTGAAAAAGGTGGTTTATATTCGTTTTTCATTTTTTCTTAAAGAGAAAGAAGACAATGCCTATAGTTGTGGTCATGGATACCACATTAGAAAATGGGAATCAGGGGCACCTGGGTGACTCAGTCGTTAAGCGTCTGCCTTCGGCTCAGGTCATGATCCCAGGGTCCTGGGATCGAGCCCCGCATCAGGCTCCCTGCTCAGCGGGAAGCCTGCTTCTCCCTCTCCCACTTATGGTCCCTCTTTCACTGTGTCTCTCTCTGTCAAATAAATAAATAAAATCTTTAAAAAAAAAAAAAAAATGGGAATCAGTAAATCTAGTGTTCTGGGTCCCACTGTGGTGTGCTTTTGGGGAAATCAGCTAACCTGCTGAGAGTCAAACTTTGTGGGATGTTACATAGATACAGTGAGAAAAGGAGGCAAAATAAGGGTACTTTTAATCCACTGCTCTTTAAACAGTGTGTGTTGTGGATAGTTTTAGGAAATTGTGCCTTTGCAATAACAATAGTAACAATATACATAATATACCTGTATTCCTGAAGTTGAATATGCTAACAAGTACCAATAAGAATAAAGACTGTATATTTTAAAGATTAAAAAAAAAGATATAAAGGTTAAGATATCCTTGGCTGATGATAGTAATAAAACTAGAAATTAACACAAAACTTTAAACAACAGAAGTTCTAGCCCTCTAGATATTACATATTGGCAGTATACTCCTTAGAAAGTAATGAAAGAGATTACCATATATTTGTCCAAACAACAGGATATAAGCAAATATGTGCTCATAGTTAATTAATGGCCTTAATATTTTTATTATTTACTTTTTATTGCCTGATTGATTGCATACATAAAATTGTGTTCTCATTGAAAACAATTCAAATAATACAGTAAGTTCCCTTTGACCATCCTCTACATTCCTTATCTTTCTGCACAGATAACCATTGTTAATAAATAACTCCTGTTCTCTACCTCTTTCTGTGCATTTATTAATGTGCACATAAATGAATTTTGTTTTGTGTTTTTTAATAAGTTATTTTACCATGCCTTTTGTTCTGCAGATTGCTTTTTTACTCAGTGTCTTATAAATCTTTTCATGTCACTGCATATAGATCTATGGTATAGATTCTACGTGATTCTTTATGACTACTGCATAGTAGTCCATAGTGTGTATATACAATATTTTATTTATCAGACTTTGAGCATTTAAGTTGATTTTCCCTTATTTTCCATTTTTCCCTTATTATAAACAATGTGTCAGAACATTTTTTAATATTTGCCTTCTTGTACAATTGTATAAGTACTTCTCAAGGATGAAATTAATATGTGAAAGGGCTGAGTCATAATTATTTGAAATTTTAATAGATACTGCCACAGTGTCCTCCAGAGTAGTTTTACCAGTTCCTACTCCCAACAGTGTTTGAGAGTTTCTATTTCCTTCATATTCACCAATAATTACTATTATCAGTACTTGAAAAAATTAGATATAATCAACATTATAAGCCTGTGCCAGTCTGAATTTCCCTGATTACTAGTTAGTATTAGGTTGAGCATCTTTTCATATGATTGTTCACTAGTCTGTTGTGTTTTGTCTTCTGGGAATTACCTGTTACCTTTGCCCATCTCTTTTGGATACTTTGCTTTTGTTTTATTGATCTTTAGAAGTCCTTTCAAATTATGGATACTAAACTTTGTTGCATGTTTCCCATATTTTGTCCCAATTCTTTAACATTAATTATGAAGTTAAGCCAGAGTTTTCAGTGTTGATAAGGACAGATTTATCAGTCTTTTAGAGTTTTAATTTTTGGTATCTTAAGGCTTTCTCAATCCCAAAGTCACAAATATATTTTCTTATATTTTTTAAAACAAAATTTTAATTACAGTTATATTGACACATTTTCCTTTTAAAAATCAAATGTTAGACATAAAGCTAAAGTTCTGTTTGAGCAGTGGCCTAACCCAGGACCCCTTTCTGCCCTTCCTCAGTAGATATTCTGGTTATAAGTTTTATGTTTATCCTGTTAGAATGGCTATTATGCTATTACATATAAATATATGTAACTGTAGAAATTATATTGTATCATTCAGTCTTTGGTTTTATTTGCATAAGTGTTATCACATGTGTGTCATTCTGCAACTTGTCATTTTCACTTGGCAATCTGTGCAATATGTTCTTACATACAAAACGAGCTCAGTGTTTCTCAGTCTTGACATTTGGGCAGCAGTTCTTTTTCATGCTCCATGAATTGCAGGACAGTTAGCATCTCCAGCTCTTCATCCACTCATTCCAGTAGTGTTCCCTAGTCCTTATGATAACCAAAAAAATAAACCTTACCCCACGTCTTGCTGAACACCTCCTATGAGGTTATACCAGACTTAGCTTTTTAAACTGCACCTTTTAAAAACTGCATAATATTCTGTATTATATAATTTCATTTCATGGATAATAAACATGTAAGTTATTTCCAGTTTGTTGAATGATCTGTGACATTTCAGGGAGCTTCTTGTACAGGGAAAGAGGCAGTATTGCAGAGTAGTTTAGAGCGTGGCCTATGAAGTCAGATCACATGGGTTAAATCCTGACTCTGCTACTTCATAGTGATGAGTCATTAGGTAAGTCTCTTACTGTCTCTAGGCCTCAGTTTCTTCATTTTAACAATGGAAGGTAATATTAGGACCTACCTCATAGGATTGTTTGTAAAGATTAAATGAGTTAACGTAATATGAAGTATTTTAAACAGTACCTCACATTGCAATTGTGCTTTATAAATATTTGCTGTTATTATATTATTATTACACACATTGAGTACATACTAAGAATTGCTAAATCATTAAGATGTAAGTCTTTATTTTAATGCCTACCAAAATAGAATAGAAACTGAAATGCCTAGTAAGAAGGAATGGATAAAACTATTACGCACATATAGTAAGAGTATTGGGCAGCCATTTAAAAATAATGTTTCTGAGGAAATTTTAATGGCATGAGAAAACAACTAAGATACAAGTGAATAAAGCAGGATGCAAATCTGTATATGTTTTTAAGTATGATCTTAATATGTAAAAAGAATGTTATAAATAGAACGTGAACTGGATGGGAATATACAAATGGTTATCTCTAGGTTGTGAGTGTATAATGCTTTTTATTTTCTTTATACTTATCCAGATTTTCCAAAATTTCTTAATAAGCCTGCATTACTTTTATAATCAGAAAAAACCAATAACCCAGCTTCTTGGTACAATAAATTAAGTATAATTATACAGTCTACTTTGTGATCTGCTTTTTTTGCACTTAGCAGCTCAAAATGCATTTTCTAATAAGCAAATTAACTGATGAGTCAGAAAAATCAAGGGGAAAGATTTTAAGCTAATACTGCTAAGTTATTTTTATTTTACTATTTTTGTTCTTAAAGTTCTTGCCCTACAGTTACTTAAAATCTACCAAAATATAAAGACAAGTCACCAAAACATGTGTCCTCATTTCTGGTCGTTTCTCTTGGTAGCACCCCAGCAGTCAGTGACTACTCTAGAATTGCTTTGGGTCCTAAACGGGGTCCGACTGTTACTGAAAAGGAGGTGCTGACATGCATCCTCTGCCAAGAAGAACAAGAGGTGAAAATAGAAAATAATGCCATGGTATTATCGGCCTGTGTCCAGAAATCCACCGCCTTAACCCAGAACAGGGGAAAACCTATAGAACTCTCAGGGGGTATGTATTGTTTAATAAATATCCTTTTGAGCATTTCTTTTCATACTTATATAATTAGAAAAAATATTGAAAGAAGTTTGGGAATGAGACTTTATTTAGCTTTATTTAGTCAGATCACATTTTATCATGTGTAAAATGGACTCTGGGTCTTTACATGCCATGTTGGCGCCTTTGTTTTATTTTTTAATTTTAATTTTTGTTACACTTGGCCACATTGCTCAGTCTGTGGCTATCTACCTATCTCCATTTCTCTTTGCTGAACCTTTTGAAGGTAGGATGCAGGCATATGACTTTGATCCCTAAATATTTCCATATGCATTTTCTAAAGCTAAGGATAATCTATTATATATCTATCATACCATTATAACATTTTAAAAGATGAATAATAATTCAGGAATATCACCTAATCCATATTTGGATTTTCCCAGTTGCCCTCAAAATATCTTTATTTTTTTAGCTAGACTTTTCTTTTTTCAGGATCCAGACATGTTTCATGCGTCACTTTTATTATGTCTATTTTAGTCCAATTTAATCTAAAATAGTCACTTAGCCTTTTTTTTCATGATAACTTCTTTGAACAATGCAGACCTATTGTTTTGTACAGTGTCTTACATTGCGGATTTGTCTATGCCTCAAGATTAGGTTCATATTAGATATTTTCTTGGCAGGAACACTAATTAGGTAATGCTTTTGGGTTTTTTGTTTTTTTGGGGATTTTTTTTTACATTGCATCAGAGTTAGCTGCTTTATAACATACCCTTGGAATAACAATAATAATGATGATAAAAAAGACTAACATTTATTGAGTATGTACTGTATGCCAGGCACCGATTAAGTGCTTTTTTGTGTATTTACTCACTTAATCCTCACAACAGCTCTATGAGTTCGGTACCAATATTGGCTCCATTTACCGATGAAGGAACTGAGGCACGGAGAAGTTAAATAATTTGCCCAAGGCCATGAGTTATACGTAATAAAACCAGATTTTGAGCCACTTCGTCTTTGCTTTGGATTTTTCCAGTAGATTATAATGCCTTAAATATCCCTTAAAAAGTAATTGAAATTACTCTTAAAATTACAAAAGCAAATTGTGCATGAATCATAGAAAATCACTTCAACAGCTAAGACAGAGCAACTTAAACCTAATGTTCAGAATAAAAAATGCAAATCAAAAATAGAGGATGTCATTAATTCATACTAATTTTAAATCCTTCCTGGAAGTCTAGCTTTTATTTTTCTCTAAAATTTTTATTTACTATTAAGAATATATTTCCTGCTATCAAGATACTATGACAGTTTAGTTAGACATTCCTAAGAAAGCTTATGGTTAGAAATTTAGACCTGATAATCTCTCTCTCTCTCTCTTTTTTTTTTTTTCATTTTATGACTGTGGGGGAGATGAATATATACCTCCTATTTTTGTCCTCCTGTACCAGAAACCGTGGACCCCCTTTTCATGGATCCAGACTTAGCATATGGAACTTACACAGGAAGCTGTGGTCATGTAATGCATGCAGTGTGCTGGCAAAAGTAAGTTGTCCTTCTGACCTGTTCTTGAAAGAAACTCGGAATAATTGAAGTTCACTAAAGGCCACAAAAAGGCATGTTTTCTCATGTCTTCTTTCCTTCCTTTTTATGTGAATAAGTGAAGCAGTTTTAATTACTAATTTTGTTTGCGTGATACTTATTATCACCTTTAGAAATGGGTGTAAAAAGTTATCAACTTTAAATTTTCACTACCCCTTTGTATTTCCTCTCCATAAGCTAGTTAATTGCTCTTGATCAGTATTTGTGTAAAAGAAGCTGTAATCTTTCTTCCTAAAAAGTCTCATTTCTCTGAAAACAGAATAAAAAGTACCTTTGAGATAAAATAGGACAAGAAATTCTAGTTCCACCTCTAAAAGAGAAAAATTCAGAAATATTATTCCTAGGAAATCTTTTGTATAGGGTTCACCCTTTTGGCATTATTAAAATACATAATTTTCCTGTAACAGCCTTTACTATTATAGTTGACCGTTGGAAACTGAGGGAAGTAGTGTCTACGTTGTATTTCCATGCTTTTGAGTTAGGAGCCACGTTATGATTCAGTAGAATTATTTTAAATTTGTTTCTGGCATGATGTGTCCTCCACTTTGCCTCCAAAAGAATGGGTATCCTGTTTCTTCTGTAATTTTAACTTGGGTGTTGGGGCATATAGATTCTAAAGACATTTATTGAAGCAAAAATTCCAGATTTTTGTCTCTTGGATTAGAACAAAGATAAATGCGTCATTCTGAATGGACACATGCCTTGGAATTTTGCAGGTATTTTGAAGCTGTACAACTGAGCTCTCAGCAGCGCATTCATGTTGACCTTTTCGATTTGGAGAGTGGAGAATATCTTTGCCCTCTTTGCAAGTCTCTGTGTAATACTGTGATCCCCATTATTCCTTTGCAACCTCAAAGGATAAACAGGTATATTTTAATTCATGTTTTGGTTAATTTTTTTAAAAGCTATCTTTAATCCTTTCATTTGTATCTGTTTTGATTAGATTGCTAGTTTCTTTTGCTATTTAAAGTAATACTTTTTCTTTTCATAACTTTGTTCTACTTTCTAAATACGATGAAAAGCCCCAGTTTTTGGTCTCTAAAATAACTGTAATGTTGATTAACTCAAATCTGTTATGTTGTGTGTGTATCTTCTAACAGCCATGAAAGCAATAGAACTTGGATCTCTACCTTAGCATTCACATAAGAAGAGAAGATGCTGAGAAGATTCATTTCTTTCATATAGTCCTTTGATACCATTAGAGTTACTTTTTAGAATTTGGTTTCTCTAAAGGTCTTTGTATTATTATTTTTAATTCTATTTTTTCAGAAGATCCAGTTTTCTAGTTGTAGAGATGTGGACAAAATGTTAAAGTAAAAAAAACACTAGATTCATTGTATATCTTTGGATTGCTTTTGAGTTTTTAGACTAAGTTTTTGAACTTTTCTGTGTTGACCATTTACAAGTGGAATTTAACAGCAACTTTACTCATTTGTTATGATAACTGTAACGCTTAATTTATATTTCTGTGTTGCCACTGTTGTATATGATGATAACGGTATTATTATTGTTACTTTACTTTTTTTAAACTCAATGAATTTGTAATAATCGACCTAAGTTTTGCTAAAGAAAAAGATTTTGTTGATAAAAACACTTTTAACATGTTTCCACAACAAAAGTGCTCAAAGGTGATAGGCTTGGCAATCAGGGTCAATAAGTAGTTGTTCTGTCTGTACTATTCCATGTCATTAGAAAACCTGATTTGGAAATTGTCTTCTACTCAGCATATTGGGACATAAAATGTCATCTTTTAGTAAGAAGGTGGCATTGGAAGCATTTATCTTTTTTTGACTAATTGATATGTTCTAGGCACTCTACCATGCACCTGCTATATTATTTTTTTAATACTCAGATAGCCTAACAAAGGCAGGTACTGTTATTCCCATTTAAAAGATAAGGAATTGGAGACTATGAGTAGTTTTTACTTGTCCCAAGACAGACTCAGGATTTGAACCCAGACGTGACTCCAAAGCCTTACCTAACTATACACATGAAGACAAAAAACAAATCATAATAAAATTAAGTGACCTTTCCAACTTCTTGTTAGCCTGTATAAGCCTTTTTTTTTACACAGTGGTTTCCCAAGTAAGGATTATTAAACATGTAAATTATTCTCTAAGGAATGTTCAGCAACTATTTCCCTTGATATCTTTAAAGAATAGGATGCTTCAGGGGCACCTGGGTGGCTCGACTGAGCCTCTGTCTTCAGCTCAGGTCATGATCTCAAGGTTCTCCCTGCTCAGCAGGGAGTCTGCTTCTCCCTCTCCCCCTGTCTCCCCCCACTTGTGCTCTCTCGTGCCCATGGACTCTATCTTTCTCTCTCTCTCAAATAAATAATATCTTTAAAAGTAAAAAGAAAGAACAGGACGCTTCAGGGCAGTCCTTTCTGAAGTTAGACCAATCCTTACAACTGGGTCTCTTTGAACCTGTGACACTTTTAATGTGTAGTAACACCTTTGTTACTTAGGATCTGAAATACATAATTATACATAACATTTTTATTAGGCACTTGAACTTACCTATGTATTTGAATATATTTGCCTTTTTTGTTTTTAGAAAATCAACATGAGTATAATCTAAGATGTGAAAGTTAAGAGTGTATAAAAAATTCTTAGGTCAAATTTATGTCCAGATATGTGAATTGTGGCACAGTTCATTGTATAATTTCACTTTACAAGACTGTCTTTTCAACAGTCCCTTTTAATAACATTGTTTCTAATCTTCTTGGTTGTTAATAAAAGTTTGGATCAGGTCCCTGCCCTTACGGAATTTATATTACAGAAAGGAGAGACCAACAATAAACATACGAATACAAAGTGAGAAATACTATGACAAAACTAAAGCAGCAAGGTAAAGGGCTAGAAACGGGGTGCATGAGACCATGGTCACAGTCATCAGGGAGCTTCTCTTTGGGATAATGACATTTGAGTAGGGCCCTGAATGAAGTGAAAGACAAGTAGTGCTAATTTCTGGGAGAAGAGAACCAAGCACAGGCAATATAAAGAGCAAATGCCCTGAAGTAGGAATGTATCAGCATGTTGGAGGCACAGCAGAAAGGCAGTATATTGGAATGGAACAAGCAAAGAACCAGATCATAAAAGGGCTTATAAAGATGAGAAATTAGAATTTTATTTTTAGTATTAAAAACACATAGTATTTTATGTTGATGGGAAACCATTGGAGTATTTTGAACAGAGGAGTGATATCAGATTTACATTTTAAAAGATCCTTCTGGCTGTTATATAATGAATACATAGATAATAATGAAGCACTGTTGTGAAAACTTCGGAAGAACAGTTAATGTATTGAAATAGTTCAGGTGAGGGATAATGTAACTTGGATTAAGGTAGTAACAGTGGAGGTAGAAAGAAGTGATCAACTTGGGTTATATTTAGAAGGTAAAACCAGCAAAACTAGCTGCTGGGTTCGAAGGTGGGCTGTGAGAGAATCCAAGAAATCAGTGATGGCACCTAGTTTTTTATTTGAGCGACTAGAATGGTGATTCCATTTATTGACATTTGTTACTTCTAGGTGTTGGGCCTATGAGTGGTATCTTATTCATTGTACTTGTAAAATTCTCCTCCCTCCCCAAACTACATTTTCTCTTTTATTTATTTATTTTATTGAAATATAGTTGATACACAATGTTACCTTAGTTTCAGGTGTACAACACAGTGATTTGACAAGTCTATATGTTATGCTGTGCTCACCACAAGTGTAGCAACCATCTCTCACCATACAACACTATCACAGTACCATTGAATATATTCCCTATGCTGTACCTTCATCCCCATGACTTATTCTTTCTATAACTAAAAGCCTGTATTTCTCACTCCCCTTAACCCCTTTTGGCCCATTCCCTGCCCCTCTAGTAGCCATCAGTTTGTCTTTGTATTTATGGGTCTCTTTCTGCTTTGTTTGTTCATTTGTTTTGTTTCTTAGATTCCACATATAAGTGAAATCATATGGTATTTGTCTTTTCTCTGTCTGACTTACTTCACTTAGCATAATACCCTCTAAATCTGTCCATGTTGTCACAAATGGCAAGATCTCATCCTTTTTTATGGCTGAGTAATATCCTGTTGTGTATATATACCACATTTTCTTTAACCATTCATCTGTCAATGGACACTTAGGTTGCTTCCATATTGTGGCTATTGTAAATGATGCTAAAACTACATTTTTAGACATATGTGTTTCTATGACTTAGGAAGTTAATCTGAAGGAATTTGACCTTTTTTATACAACCATTTGTCCATAGAAAGACTCTACAAGTTTAGGTTTTCAGTTTGAGTTGGTGCCAATGGCTTGATAATTTTTAAATGTCATTTTTCAGTGAGAATGCAGAAGCTCTTGCTCAACTTTTGACCCTGGCGCAATGGATACAGACTGTTCTGGCCAGAATATCAGGTTATAATATGAAACATGCCAAAGGTTTGCTTAAAATTATTTTATATTTAGCTGTGTGAGATTTAAGTGTCAGAGTCTTTAATTTTTTCTCTAGTACTTACTGCTTTAAAATATGGTTTGCCAATACAGATTTGTTGAATATCAGGAAGTGAAGGTTTTCAAAGGCAAGACTAAGTTTGGCTTAAATCACTTTATTTGATTAAATAATTTTTATACTGGCAAGCAATATAGACAGTGGTTAATCTAGAGTCACACTGCTTGGAGTTAAATCTTAGATCCATCGCTCACTGTCTCTATGATCTCGGACAAGTTATTTAACCTGTCTGTGCCTCAACTTTATTTGCAAGGTGGGAATAATAATAGTATCTATCTCGCTGATTGAAGGATTGAGTTATCCTTTGTAAAGTGAAACAGTGCATGGTACATAGTATAGGCATTAGCCATTACTATTACTAATTTCATTAATATTTTGTTATTAATAACAAAAACATTTTAAAACTGTTACCTCATTTATATATTCCTTACAGTTGAGAGATAAGACTATCTAACAACTCTGAGAAGTAAACAACGGCAGGCAGATTGAGGAGGGAAATCAAAATTTGAAGAATGCTTGGCAATGAGTTTCCTGGGTGTTTTTCCTCCTGTATTTCCCAGCCTTGACTCCAGGGTAGCCTGAGTCACAGAGCTTTGCAGTGGACATGAACAGCAAAAAAATTCAAGACAGATCCCCTTTTTGGCCAGAGGATCAGGAAAAGAAACCCCTCAGAACTGGAGAGTTGTAAAGGGAATTCCTGTTGTGGTGTTTTTCATCTTCTGACCCTCTCCTGAGGTCAGCCCCAGTCATGGAGCTACAGTGCCATGGTGGCCATAGAGACACGTAAAATCCCAAGAGAAAAGCAGTATCTCTGGCCAGAGGAACTGGGAAAAAAGGGACCTCTGTGTTCCAAAGAAGGCAGGGTGAATCCTCATTATTTTTTTCTGTCTTTGCTTCACAGCTTCACTCCACAGGTAACCCCAGTCGCCTGAATCTACTTAACAACAGAGGATACTAAAACGGAGAGAAACATGTCATTTTGGCCAGAGGAACTGGGGAAAAGGGCCCCATGGAGCTAGAGAATTATGGGGGAAATCCCAGAGAGGAGAGAGCCTATAGAAGGGGAATCTCCTGTTTTTGAGACCAGCACAAATCTTGGGCTTACCTCCAAGATGCACTTGTGTAGAATAGGCCCAAAGGAACAGCAGCAGGGTTGAGAATGAAGCTGCATTAAACCACCGCTTAAGTCTCAGACTGACCCCTGAGTAGTACATGTATAGGCAGACCCAAGCAGCATAGCAAGGGCTCTAAGACTAACATTGGAACCACCATACACAGTGAGACAAAACTTGTTGAACCTAATTGGGTTGTTTGCCTACTAAAACAAAAAGAAAGGTACATTTAACAAGAACCAAAACCTCACAATGTAAAATTCAAAATATCCAAGATAAAATCCGGAATTATTCAGCCTACAAAGAACCAGAAGAATCTGACCAACTCTCAAGGAAAAAAAATCAAATGCCAATCCTGAGATGTTTTAACATTGAACGTTTTTGACAAAAAATTTAAAACACCTATATAATCATTAAACATAAGGTAAAGGTGAACACTTTTGAAATGATTGGAAAAATAGAGTTCTCAGCAGAAAAAAAATAGAAACTATTAAAAAAAAAAAAAGAACCAAATAGAGATAATAGAATTGAAGAAGCACTGTATGAAATAAAAATTAACTGGATGGACTCAATAGTAGAATGGAGATGAGAAGGGTAAGAGTTAGTGAACTTGAAATTAGATCAGTGGAAATTCTCCAGTCTGAGGAATAGACAGAAAAGTGATGGAGAAAAAAAAAAACAACATAGCTTTAGAGACATATGGACCCAATTTTTTTAAATCCAATATTTATGTCCCGCAAGTCCCCAAAAGAAAAAGGATGGTAGAGAAAAAAAATTTTTTTGAAGAAATAATGGCTGAAAACTTCCCAAATTCAGCAAAAAATATAAACTTACGTATTTAAGAAGTTCAGTGAACCTCAAAGATGAACTGAAAGAAAACTACACCTACATAGATCATAGACAAACTGTTAAAAATCAAAGATGAAGGGAAAAAATCTCAAAGACAATCAGAAAAAGACAACTTGTTTCATATAGGGGAACAACAATTCTAATTTGATGAGGAAATGGAGCCAAAGTAAGGTTAGTGTTCACCCAAGGTCTTAGTAATGGTGGCAGAGCTAGGATGCAAACCTAGGCAGCTTGGGTCCAGATCGTCTGCACTTGTTCATTAATGTATACTGCCTTACTAATAGAATACTATGCATCCATTAAAAATGGAACTGTAGAGGGGGAGTTACCGATGTGGAAAGACATTTATGATCTGTTGGTGAAAAAACAAGATACAGAACAGTACTCTGATTTTGTCTTTATAAAAAAATCTGTATGTGTAACATTCATATGGAGAACAGAAGAATATCACCCAAATGTTATTAGGGTAGAGAAATTTTGAATGATCGTTTATTACTTATTAACATTTTCTAAGTATTCTAAAATGGTCATATATAATTTTAAAAAGCTAGGAAAGTGTGTGTCACACTAAACCCTCATGATTTTTCTTTCTTTTTCTTTTTCATGCATAAGGAGAAAACCCAACAATTCCAGTCTTACTTGATCAAGGAATGGGCGATTCCACTTTTGAGTTCCATTCTATCCTCAGTTTTGGAATTCAGCCTTCGTAAGTATCTAAATAGTTAAAAGAAGTTTGTAAATGGCTGTGAAAATAAGAATGAAGAATAATCCTTCCTTCCATCCTCCCATCTCTCCTTCTTGCTTTATTTGTAAAATTATTTCTTTACCCCATTTTTATCTTGTTTCTTTCTCCCTGAAGTTTTATTTGTACAATAAAATTAAGTGGTTTGAGGTATTAAAGTACTATGTATTAGGGTGAACCATGTCTATAATTAACCATTTTTGACCAACAAAAATGCCATTTCTCTATAGTCCTGCCTACAGTAAGAACAGCATTTAAGACACTTTAATTAAAGTCATATCTAACCTGCCCTCTGACTTCTGAAAAGTCTCCAGTCACCCACCTCTCCAATTCATTTTTCTTGTTGGTAAAATTGAAACAGTAGCCTATTATCTTACATTATAAGGTTATTGGAAAAATACTTATGTGAAGACACTTTGAAAAATATAATGTATCCAAATCAGGTGTAATTATTTAACAGATATTATCTGATGTACATTTTTTTAGTTGTGATCCTTGTTTATATTGCATATCTCATTGTTATTGAAAATACTTGTTAGAAAAGGAAGTTCAGGAAACCAGAAATTACATTCCAAGTACATGACATACTCTTTTCTCTCTTTCTCTCTCTCTCTGTGTGTGACACACACACACACACACACACACACACACACACACACACACACACACCCTGTTAACACACCCTGTTAACACTGACGTCCTTCTTAGTCCCTTTTCCAGAGACTAAAACTTGTTAAGTCAGATCTGTTTCCTCTGAATTTTATTCCTTCTCTGCAGTTTGTCCTTAATTTGGACCTGGATCCTTTCTGCTGTGATCATTTACTGCATCTTTTACAGGAAGTAAAGTTATATGGACCATTATCATTTTGTAAGAGATATTTTTCTGCCTCTAAGAGATAGAGTTCTGCTTTTCCCATTTTTTCCTAATGAATAAAGCTTCAGAGACTCTAATCTCTAATTTGACAAAAAGCAGTTTACTTTGTCGAAAGGAGTTAAATTGTTACTTCAGTACCTAATTGGACTTCTGAGTAGGTAACCCCGTTTACTAAATTTATTATATAAATTTTTCTTGTTTTATTTTTAGGATAAAATATTCTAATAGCATTAAGGAAATGGTCATTCTCTTTGCCACAACAATTTATAGAATTGGACTGAAAGTACCTCCTGATGAAACGGATCCTCGAATCCCCATGATGACCTGGAGCACGTGTGCTTTCACTATCCAGGCAATTGGTAAAGCCTATGAGAGACTGCTTTGGAGGGTTCATAGAAACAGAATTAACATTGATTGACCAAATTTTTCCTCTTTTTTCCCCTGATGGCTTAAAATAGCTTGAATTGTTGGAGAAGTATTAGTATTTCAGTGTATTAGTGTGGCCTAATGCCATTTAGTCTGAGAATTTTTGTATCGATCCCTTTTTAACTACAGTATTGGCCATATGCAAAATAAGCTCAAAATATTTGAAAGGTATAGCATGAAGCAAGCTATATTTAAAAGCTGGCAGATTTACAACACTAGAAAATCAAGAAAAAAGGCAAAGGAAGAAGAATCAAGCCAGAAATGTTCAGTAATTTTTGTTTCTTTTACACCTTGAGAGAAAAAGAATGGAAACCAAAGTCACCTAAAACATTATCAGGAAAAGGAAGGGAAGACTGAGGTAGTCAGGAGAGACAGATTAGCGGGCAGGAACTAAGAGGTCAGAAGGGAAGCCCACTGACAAAATCCCAGCCATATTGAAAGCTTCTTAGAGAAAAGTGTAGCAATCAAATCAACATGTTGTGTTTTTTGTTTTTTTAAGATTTTATTTATTTTGAGAGAGAGAGAGCACAAGCAGGGGTAGCGGTAGAGGGAGAGGGAGAAGCAAGCTCCCCACTGAGCAAGGATCCCAATGTGGGACTCAATCCCAGGACCCTGGGATCATGACTTGACCCAAAGGCAGTTGCCTAACCGACTGAGCCACCCATGCGCCCCTCAAATCAACATATTGTACACCTTAAATTTACACAGTGTTATGTGTCAGTTATATATCAGGAAAGCTGGGGAGGGGAGAAGAGTGTAGTTGTGAAGAATTGCTTAGATTTTAAAATTAGCATATTTGCTTATTACAGTCATGAGATACAATACTATCTGAAAAAGAATAAGAACTGTAATACTTTTATATCCCCTTTATCCAAGACAGTTTCAATTTCCCTTTCCAGTGTAGATTTTTGGCAGTTGTTTTTAATGGAGTCTACCACTTTTTCTTTTTTTTTAAGATTTTATTTATTTATTTGTCAGAGAGAGAGCACAAACAGGGGAGTGGCAGGCAGAGGGAGAAGCAGACTCCCCGCTGAGCAGGGAGCCCAGTGCGGGACTCGATCCCAGGACCCTGGGATCATGACCTGAGCTGAAGGCAGCCGCTTAACCAACTGAGCCACCCAGGCACCCTGGAAGAATGAGATTTAAATAGAATAGAATCTAAACAAATTGATAAGAAATATAACGTATTCTTTTAGAGTCATGATCTACTACTGAGTATCGTGAGACTTTCAATGAAGGCATTTTACACTTTACTGCCTTTGGCAAGACAAACTTTAGGAATCAGAAGTTTATATTTAAAGAGTTAACATTTAAAAAGTTCAGTTTTTGGGCGCCTGTGTGGCTCAGTCGTTAAGCGTCTGCCTTCAGCTCAGGATCCCAGGGTCCTGGGATCAAGTCCCACATCAGGCTCCGTGCTCGGCAGGAAGCCTGCTTCTCCCTCTCCCACTCTCCCTGCTTGTGTTCCCTCTCTTGCTCTCTCTGTAAAAAACAAATAAAATCTTTAAAAAAAATAAGTTCAATTTTTGTCATAAAAGTGATGAGAAGTTCACTGGAGAATAGGACTAAATTTTTCTGTGTGGTTCTGAAACCTAGTAATTAGATTTTATTTGATTACTATAGTGTTACACTGTTTTCACAGTGGTTTTTCCATGCAGGGGACATAGTCCTCTATTTTATTCCTAGTGCATAAGCAGCTAACTTACCTCATTCCCTATGGGTGTGGAGAGACATATACAGAATGTGTTGGCATGGTTAGGAACTATCGTTAAGGAATCAATATACAACATCTTTTATTAATGTCCATTCAAACTTGGAAAAAGAAAATAGGAAATAAACCTTCCTTACTCATAGATGTATCTGCTGCCAGAAAGCAATGAAAATACAAGTAATATAGCAATAAATACCCTAGCCAGCAAGGCAAAATGTATATGAATCCATGGGTCTTTTTTTTTTTTAATTTTCAGTTTTGGTTTTATTCCTATAAATGTAATTCTTTTTTAATAGTACCTATAAGAGCAGTAGTTACTTGCATCTGCCTATGTATTTTAAAACAAAATAAGTTGTGATTATGCATAAAAATTACTTGTTTAAAAATTGTTGGCATAGAAGCAATGTTAAAAGGATGAAAAATGAGCCAGTATGCTTTGTTTTTCCCAAGTATTCTCTTGGATAGCTGCGGGGGCTTTATTATTTATAGTAACAGTTTGTAAGTGATCTACATTTGCTTCTATAATATATTCTCAAAAATTTGGAAATTTTGGCATAGACATAAACATGAAACTTTGAGGGGGAAAAGTGCAAATCATCTGGTCAAAAATAGAATCAGTTAAAGAACATCTAAAGCCAAGTATACAATTGTAGCAGTATTCAGGATTTATTATTTTTGTTTTTCTTACTCTTTGAGAAAACCTCTTGGGAGATGAAGGAAAACCTCTGTTTGGAGCACTTCAAAATAGACAGGTGTGTATATTCCAGCAGGGTATGTGTAATTCGTGGTAGGCTTTTTTTGGTATAGTCTACAGTTAATTTACCATTTTCTTAAATCATTTTTTTAATTCACTCCTTTTTCTATAAAAATTAGCAAAATTCTTTTTTTTTTTTAAAGCTACTTCAGTCTCACAGGAGACTCAATGGCCAACATTGTGCGCTTTAGAGTGCTTACTCAATCTTGGTGGTTAAATCTAATTCATAGAGAGATTTCAGATGATACTTAGTTACTTTTTCTCCCCCTACTCTGTTTATTGCCAAGTCAGAAACCTCCTGTCTCCTACATTTTCCTTCCTCACTAATTTTGACCCATCTTGTAACATTATTAGTGCTGACTTAACTATAAATGAATCATCATAGTAAATTCAAGAATAAAACTACGCCGTGGCCCCTTGATGGGCAGATCTTGGCACTACAGGACTATACTCCCATCTCCAGGCCTAAGCTTCATATTGTAGGGGACCCTGGAAAATAGTGCTCAACAAATAGCTGCACGAAAACAGAGTGGGCCACCAAGGATTCCTTAGACCACCCCTCCTTGCCATTTCCCTCTTATTTTCCTGATAGCTGGCACAGGGCACTTGTAGTCCACAGTGTGCTTCCCTACAGTTCCTGGCCTTCTGGTTAGGGAGCAAAAGATCTGAATTCAATGGAACGTTTTGGGGTTTTTTGCCATCGTTTTAGAATTTCTGTAATATATTTTTTTTGCCCAGGCCTCAGCAGAGTAAATTAGTCCAGACATTTAAGAAATTGACTGGGGAAAATGAGTACTTAAAGGAGAATTGAAATAATTAATAGCTTTAGTACTTCTTTGTCATGGGAAAATCTGTTAAAAATTTGATGAATTAGTTCATAAAACTTTCTAAAAGTACTAAAAATATTGTAATTTATTTGCAAGAATGTAAAGTATATAATAAGTCTGCATCTAATTCTTGCAGACTGGGATTGAGTTCTACAGTGAGTGACTTCAGCCTATCATCTTCCCTTATCTTTTTATGTTTCCCTCTCTTACCATCTAGCATAATGGTCTGAAAGCATTAATGCAGTTTGCCATTGCGCAGAAGATTACCTGTCCTCAGGTCCTGATACAGAAACATCTGGTTCGTCTCCTATCAGGTAGTCTCTTCTGAATTATTATTAAATTATTACTTATATGTCTTTTTCCATTGCATTTCTGGCGATGTATTTCATTAGGAAACAACACACTGCACTAATTTTGAACACTCAACTACAGCAGCTTTACAAAAGAAAAAACAAAAGACCTGGATGCCCCTATAATACCTGCAATCTTATTTTAAAACTCAGGTTATGGGTGCCTGGGTGGCTCAGATGGTTAAGCGTCTGCCTTCGGCTCAGGTCATGATCCCAGGGTCCTGGGATCGAGTCCCGCATCGGGCTCCCTGCTCCTTGGGAGCCTGCTTCTCCCTCTGCTTCTCTCTCTCTCTCTCCCCCCCTCTGTCTCTCATGAATAAATAAATAAAAATCTTTAAAATAAAAAAATAAATTAATTAATTAATAAAACAAACTCAGGTTATTTTCCAAATGTTTTTAACTTACATCTACCCACCTAGGGGCATTATTGAACCACCGTTCACAACCGCTAACATGTTTATATCCTAATCTGGTTAGAAAAGGGATCAATGATATGGATAGATCATTTAAAAATAGCTTTAATTTTGCTGGATCAGGGGGATATTCTTCATCCTCATTTCACTTGCACTGCTTTGCAAGTTCTCTTTGCTCCCCACTCCAAATTCTTCACATATTTTATGTATCACAAGACATTTAGAAATGTATAGTTTGGAAAAAAGTATTAAGGAACATTGGATAAAAGTAATTCTTATTCATTGAGCATATACTTATTGAATAATCTCTGTTTCCTTTATTTATTTACCTTTTTTCCTCCTGGATCTTATCTTTCAACTCTTAAATTATATACAGGCTTTCTAGGAAGTTTTTGTCAGTTTAACTTGTTAATTGTGGTTCCCATATCTTAAAGGTGTGATGTGCCAGTTTACCAGTTTCTATATTTTATAACCCTGTTACATTTTTGTTTTAGGTGTTTTATGTAGTATTTAACTACATTGCTATCTTAATGAATTACACTGTTTGTTTTTTTTCTTTTTCAGTTGTTCTTCCTAACCTAAAATCAGAAGATACACCTTGCCTCCTATCTATAGATCTCTTTCATGTTTTGGTAAGTGTTCAACAAAAGTTCTTAAGTCTCTCAAGTTTATAATTTCATGTATTTTCCCACTCAAATTCATGTTCTTTGTTCAAGATTATAAATTATTAGTGTTCAAACTATAAAATTTAGTCTCTTGTCCATTCTGTTTACAAATAGATACAGATTTGACTGAGACTGTCACAATCACTTTAAAGGGTGCTTGGGTGGCTCAGTCAGTTAAGCATCAGCCGTCAGCTCAGGTCATGATCCCAGGGTCCTGGGATCTAGTCCCGCATCGGGCTGCCTATTCAGCAGGGAGCCTACTTTTCCCTCTCCCGTTCCCCCTGCTTGTGCTCTCTCTCTGTCTCTCTCTCTCTCGCAAAAATAAGTAAATAAAAAATCTTTTTAAAAAAATCACTTTAAAAATGAAAGCACATTTACTCTTTATTTTGTGACAGGTATCATCCTAGTTGATTATATTTAGCTGGTATCTGTCCAAGCAGACTTTTTCTTTACTTTTCTTTTTTTTTTTTTAATTACATATAATGTATTATTTGTTTCAGGGGTACAGGTCTGATTCATCAGTCTTACACAATTCACGGCACTCACCATAGTACATATCCTTCCAAATGTCCATCACCCAGCCACCCCATCCCTCTCACCCCCACTCCACTCCAGCAACCCTCAGTTTGTTTCCTGAGATTAAGAATCTCTTATGGTTTGTCTCCCCCTTTGGTTTCGTCTTGTTTCATTTTTCCTTCCCTTACCCTATGATCCTCTGTCTTATTTCTCAAATTCTTCATATCAGTGAGATCATATGATAATTATCTTTCTCTGATTGATTTATTTTGCTTAGTATAATACCCTCTAGTTCCAGCCATGTTGTTCCAAATGGCAAGATTTCATTTTTTTTGAGAGCTGCATAATATTCCATTGTATATATATATACAACATCTGTATCCATTCATCTGTTGATGGACATCTAGACTCTTTCCATAGTTTGGCTATTGTGGACATTGCTCCTACAAACATTGGGGTACAGGTGCCTGTTCGGATCACTACATTTGTATCTTTGGGGTAAATACCCAGTAGTGCAATTGCTGGGTCAGAGTGTAGCTCTGTTTTCAACTGTTTGAGGAACCTCCATACTGTTTTCCGAAGTGGCTGCACCAGCTTGCATTCCCACCAACAGTGTAGGAGGGTTCCCCTTTCTCTGCATCCTCGCCAACATCTTTCATTTCCTGACCTGTTAATTTTAGCCATTCTGACTGGTGTGAGGTGGTATCTCGTTGAGGTTTTGATTTGGATTTCCCTGATGCCAAGTGATGTTGAGCACTTTTTCATGTGTCTGTTGGCCATTTGGATGTCTTCTTTGCAGAAATGTCTGTTCATGTTTTCTGCCCATTTCTTTTTTTTTTATTTTTTTATTGTTATGTTAATCACCATATATTACATCATTAGTTTTTGATGCAGTGTTCCATGATTCATTGTTTGTTCATAACACCCAGTGCTCCATGCAGAACGTGCCCTCCTCAATACCCATCACCAGGCTAACCCATCCCCCTACCCTCCTCCCCTCTAGAACCCTCAGTTTGTTTTTCAGAGTCCATCATCTCTCATGGTTCGTCTCCCCCTCTGACTTACTCCCCTTCATTCTTCCTCTCCTGTTATCTTCTTCTTTTTCTTTTTTCTTAAAATATGTTGCGTTATTTGTTTCAGAAGTACAGATCTGTGATTCAACAGTCTTGCACAATTCACAGTGCTCACCGTAGCACATACCCTCCCCAATGTCTATCACCCAGCCACCCCATCCCTCCCACCCCCAACCACTCTAGTAACACTCAGTTTCCTGAGATTAAGAATTCCTCATATCAGTGAGGTCATATGATACATGTCTTTCTCTGATTGACTTATTTCACTCAGCATAACACCCTCCAGTTCCATCCACATCATTGCAAATGGCAAGATCTCATTCCTTTTGATGGCTGCATAATACTCCATTGTGTATATATACCACATCTTCTTTATCCATTCATCTGTCGATGGACATCTTGGCTCTTTCCACAGTTTGGCTATTGTGGACATCGCTGCTATAAACATCGGAGTGCATGTACGCCTTCAGATCCCTACATTTGTATCTTTGGGGTAAATACCCAGTAGTGCAATCGCTGGATTGTACGGTAGCTCTATTTTCAACTGTTTGAGGAACCTCCATACTGTTTTCCAAAGTGGTTGTACCAGCTTGCATTCCCACCAACAGTGTAGGAGGGTTCCCCTTTCTCCGCATCCCCGCTAACATCTGTCATTTCCTGACTTGTTAATTTTAGCCGTTCTGACTGGTGTGAGGTGGTATCTCATTGAGGATTTGATTTGGATTTCCCTGATGCCGAGCGATGTTGAGCACTTTTTCATGTGTCTGTTGGCCATTTGGATGTCTTCTTTGGAAAAATGTCTGTTCATGTCTTCTGCCCATTTCTTGATTGGATTATTTGTTCTTTGGGTGTTGAGTTTGATAAGTTCTTTATAGATTTTGGATACTAGCCCTTTATCTGATATGTCATTTGCAAATATCTTCTCCCATTCTGTCGGTTGTCTTTTGGTTTTGTGGACTATTTCTTTTGCTCTGCAAAAGCTTTTTATCTTGATGAAATCCCAATAGTTCATTTTTGCCCTTGCTTCCCTTGTCTTTGGTGATATTTCTAGGAAGAAGTTGCTGCGGCTGAGGTCGAAGAGGTTGCTACCTGTGTTCTCAAGGATTTTGTTGGACTCCTGTCTCACATTTAGGACTTTCAACCATTTGGAGTCTATTTTTGTGTGTGGTGTAAGGAAATGGTCGAGTTTCATTCTTCTGCATGTGGCTGTCCAATTTTCCCAACACCATTTTTTGAAGAGACTATCTTTTATCCATTGGACATTCTTTCCTTCTTTGTGGAAGATTAGTTGACCATAGAGTTGAGGGTCCATTTCTGGGCTCTCTATTCTGTTCCATTGACCTATGTGTCTGTTTTTGTGCCTGTACCATACTGTCTTGATGATGACAGCTTTGTAATAGAGCTGGAAGTCCGGAATTGGGATGCCGCCAGCTTTGCTTTTCTTTTTCAAGATTCCTCTGGCTATTCAGGGTCTCTTCTGATTCCATACAAATCTTAGGATTATTTGTTCCATTTCTTTGAAAAAAGTGGATGGTATTTTGATGGGGATTGCATTGAATGTGTAGATTGCTCTAGGTAGCATTGACATCTTCACAATGTTTGTTCTTCCAATCCATGAGCATGGAACGTTTTTCCATTTCTTTGTGTTTTCCTCAATTTTATAGTTTTCTGAGTACAGATCCTTTGCCTCTTTGGTTAGATTTATTCCTAGGTATCTTATGGTTTTGAGTGCAGTTGTAATAGGGATCAACTCCTTAATTTCTCTCTCTTCTGTCTTGTTGTTAGTGTATAAGAATGCCACTGATTTCTGTGCATTGATTTTATATCCTGCTACTTTACTGAATTCCTGTATGAGTTCTAGCAGTTTTGGGGTGGAGTCTTTTGGGTTTTCCACATAAAGCATCATATCATCTGCAAAGACAGAGTTTGACTTCCTCTTTGCCGATTTGGATGCCTTTGATTTCTTTTTGTTGTCTGATTGCTGTGGCTAGGACTTCTAATACTACGTTGAATAGCAGTGGTGATAGTGGACATCCCTGCCACATTCCTGACCTTAGGGGGAAAGCTCTCAGCTTTTCCCCATTGAGAATGATATTCACTGTAGGTTTTTCATAGATGGCTTTTATGATATTGACGTATGTACCCTCTATCCCTATACTCTGAAGAGTTTTGATCAAGAAAGGATGCTGTCCTTTGTCAAATGCTTTTTCTGCATCTATGAGAGGATCCTATGATTCTTGTTCTTTCTTTTGTTAATGTGTTGTATCACGTTGATTGATTTGCGGATGTTGAAGCAACCTTGCCGCCCAGGGATAAATCCCACTTGGTCATGGTGAATAATCCTTTTAATGTACTGTTGGATCCTATTGGCTGGTGTTTTGGTGAGAATTTTTGCATCCATGTTCATCAAGGATATTGGTCTGTAATTCTCCTTTTTGATGGGGTCTTTGTCTGGTTTTGGGATCAAGGTAATGGTGGCCTCTTAAAATGAGTTTGGAAGTTTTCCTTCCATTTCTATTTTTTGGAACAGTTTCAGGAGAGTAAGTATTAATTCTTCTTTAAATGTTTGGTAGAATTCCCCTGGGAAGCCATCTGGCCCTGGGCTTTTGTTTGTTGGGAGATTTTTGATGACTGCTTCAATTTCCTTAGTGGTTATAGGTCTGTTCAGGTTTTGTATTTCTTCCTGGTTCAATTGTGGTAGTTGATACATCTCTAGGAATGCATCCATTTCTTCCAGGTTATCTAATTTGCTGGCATAGAGTTGCTCATAATATGTTCTTATAATTGTTTGTATTTGGTGTTGGTTGTCATCTCTCCTCTTTCATTCATGATTTTGTTGATTTGGGTCATTTCTCTTTTTCTTTTTGATAAGTCTGGCCAGGGGTTTATCAATCTTGTTAATTCTTTCAAAGAACCAGCTCCTAGTTTCGTTGATCTGTTCTGCTGTTCTTTTGGTTTGTATTTCATTGATTTCTGCTCTGATCTTTATTACTTCTCTTCTCCTGCTGGGTTTAGGCTTTATTTGCTGTTTTTTCTCCAGCTCCTTTAGGTGTAGGGTTAGGTTGTGTATTTGAGACCTTTCTTGTTTCTTGAGAAAGTCTTGTATTGCGATATATTCTCCTCTCACGACTCCCTTTGCTCCATCCCAGAGATTTTGAACAGTTGTGTTTTCATTTTCATTTGTTTCCCTGAATTTTTTTAATTTTTCTTTAATTTCCTGGTTGACCCATTCATTCTTTAGTAGGATGCTCTTTAGCCTCCATGTATTTGAGTTCTTTTGAACTTTCCTCTTGTGATTGAGTTCTAGTTTCAAAGCATTGTGTTCTGAAAATATGCAGGGAATAATCCCGGTCTTTTGGTACCGGTAGAGACCTGATTTGTGACCTAGGATGTGATCTATTCTGGAGAATGTTCCATGGGCACTAGAGAAGAATGTGTATTCCGTTGCTTTGGGAGGGAATGTTCTGAATATGTCTGTGAAGTCCATTTGGTCCAGTGGGTCATTTAAAGTCTTTATTTCCTTGTTGATCTTTTGCTTAGATCATCTGTCCATTTCAGTGAGGGGGGTGTTAAAGTCCCCCACTATTATTGTATTGTTGTCAATGTGTTTCTTTGCTTTTGTTATTAATTGCCTTATATAATTGGCTGCTCCCATGTTAGGGGCATAGATATTTACAATTGTTAGATCTTCTTGTTGGATAGACCCTTTAAGGAGGATATAGTGTCCTTCCTCATCTCTTATTACAGTCTTTGCTTTAAAATCTAATTTGTCTGATATAAGGATCGCCACCCCAGCTTTCTTTTGGTGTCCATTAGCATGGTAAATGGTTTTCCACCCCCTCACTTTCAATGTGGGGGTGTCTTTGGGTCTAAAATGAGTCTCTTGCAGACAGCATATCGATGGGTCTTGTTTTTTAATCCAATCTGATAGCCTGTGTCTTTTGATTGGGGCATTTAGCCCATTTACATTCAGGGTAACTATTGAAAGATATGAATTTAGTGCCATTGTATTGCCTGTAAGGTGACTGTTACTGTATATTGTCTGTGTTCCTTTCTGATCTATGCTGCTTTTAGGCTCTCTCTTTGCTTAGAGGACCCCTTTCAGTATTTCTTGGAGGGCTGGTTTCGTGTTTGCAAATTCCTTTAGTTTTTGTTTGTCCTGGAAGCTTTTTATCTCCTTCTATTTTCAATGACAGCCTAGCTGGATATAGTATTCTTGGCTGCATATTTTTCTCGTTTAGTGCTCTGAAGATATCATGCCAGTCTTTTCGGCCTGCCAGGTCTCTGTGGATAGGTGTGTTGACAATCTAATGTTTCTACAATTGTAGGTTACATATCTCTTCTCCTGAGCTGCTTTCAAGATTTTCTCTTTGTCTCTGAGACTCGTAAGTTTTACTATTATTTGTCGGGGTGTTGACCTATTTTTATTGATTTTGAGAGGGGTTCTCTGTGCCTCCTGGATTTTGATACCTGTTTCCTTCCCCACATTAGGGAAGTTCTCTGCTATAATTTGCTCCAATATACCTTCTGCCCCTCTCTCTCTTCTTCTTCTGGGATCCCAATTATTCTAATGTTTTTCATCTTATGGTATCGTTTATCTCTCGAATTCTGCCCTCGTGATCCAGTAGTTGTTTATCTCCCTTTTTCTCAGCTTCTTTATTTTCCATCATTTGGTCTTCTATATCGCTGATTCTCTCTTCTGCCTCATTTGTCCTAGCAGTTAGTGCCCCTATTTTTGATTGTACCTTATTAACAGCCTTTTTGATTTTGACTTGGTTAGATTTTAGTTCTTTTATATTTCTCCAGAATGGGTTTCTCTAATAACTTCCGTGCTTTTTTCAAGCCCAGTAGTATCTTTAATTTATTTATTTAATTTATTTAAACAGCTAGTATCTTTAAAATCATGATTCTGAACTCTAGGTCCAACATCGTAATAATGTCCATATTGAGTAGGTCCCTGGCCGATGGTACTACCTCTTGTTCTTTTTTTGAGGTGATTTTTTTCCTCTTGTCATCTTGTCCAGAGGGGAACAGATGAGTGAGAGAACAAAATGCTAACAGGTTAACAACATCCCCAAAAAATATACTCTAAACAAATCAGAAAAGACCTGCAACCAGGGGAAAAGAAAGGGAAAGAAAGAAAAAAGAAAGAGGAAAAAAAAAGAAAAAGAAAAAGATAAAAAGAAACAAAAACAACAAAAAAAAAAACAGAATATGATGAAATATGATCAGGCTGGTGCATAGATCAGTGCCACACACTAGATTTTGAGTGTATTTTGGTCTGTTAGAAGAAAGTGCCTCCTAAAATTTTAAAGAAAGAAAGACTTAAATATGTACAAAATAAGGGTTGCTACGATGAAGGGATGGTATATGACTGTAAAGATGAAAATTATAAAAAAATTTTAAAAAAGGAATTGATAAGGTGTTTGAAAAAAGAAAGAGGAGGATTGAAAAAAAAAAGAAAGAAAAAAAAAGGGGGAGAGAATGTGATCAGGCAGGAGACTAGAACCAAGCCATACACTAGAGATTTAGTGTATATTTTGATATGTTAGAAGAAACCGCATCTCAAAATTTTAAAGAGAGAACAACTTATATATATATATA